GGGGGGGGGGGGGGGGGGGGGGGGCGAAAGCGGGACATTGGATTGTTTCCGTGCCTGCGGTGTCTTCATGTTTTCATGGTGTTTGGGGCCGGGTTGGCGACGTGTGAGAATTCGTTCGTTCGCATGCTACTCAAGGGCGTTCCGTTCCTTCGGCACTTGGGCATTTCCTGCGAGGTGGGGGTGTGGGCTCATCATCAGTGTGTGACGAGAGCTTATGATACCACCACACACACCACACCGCTGTTCTGCTTCTGACTCTGTCTAACGTGCTCCTCCTTTTCCTAGAGGCAAACAACGTTGAGCTTGTACATGGTGCCTCTTTTGCGGGGGTGAGCTCGATCAACGGGAAACAGAAACACCAACCTATCGCATGTCTGGCTCTGTGAAAGGACTCCCTGTTGGCAGTTCCCAAACAAGCACCCCTCACTAGCGTGCTCGAGATGCAGATAGGTACCGTGAGAGAGCGGGTCCCAGCACAGGTGTGCGATCGACGATTTATTGCTCCACGAACAATAGAGGGTACTACTGAAACCCGACCGGCACGCGTATAAGGACAGATCTTCCTCTGCGAGATCTTTCCAAAACCGCGTTTTTCGGCATTGATTGGCAGAGGCCTCTGGTTGTTGACAACAATCGAGCTTGAACATCAAGTTTAAAAAGACGATCCCACACCTGCAGTAGTGTGCCTTCGACCTGGGGAACACACACCGACCGCAGCCATTTCGTGGGGACCGTTCGGTGCCCTGATATCATGGTCGTACGGTCATCGTCTGCCACTTCCACGGAGACGAGACCGGACACGCGGTAATCCGTTCACCAGGAGTCTCAACAAGCCAGAAGACCGACGGAGCTCAGTAAACCGGCCTGAGAGACGCCATGAAAACCAACGCCGTCAACGCGATGTTGGCGCTTCGCGTTATGTACCTGAAGAGGCCTACAGCAGTAGAGTGTGCGTCGTTTCCAACCTACTACTGTGCCAGCATCTACGCAAAGAACAGAGCGTCGTCCTTGAAGAACAAACCGCAGTGAACTTTCGCTGACGACCTGGTGGCCCACCTTGACGGTGGTGTTGTTACACCAAGTCCCCCGACACCTCTATCAAAACACATAAGGACTAAGGCTCCATCCGTTTGAGGAACTTCCGCTTCCCATTCCTGGGAATGCTTCGCGTGGGAAAGATGGAAAGGAGGTCGCGAGGTATCATTTAAGTGTACGCCGCACTCTGCACACACCCGAGCAACCGTCATCGATCATTCTCGTATCCTCTTCCCGGTCCCCTCCCCCGCCCGCCCCGACCGCGACTCGGATTCCCCCGCCCACGGCCACCGTCATTCCCCCCTCCTCTCATTCCGTCATTTCCCCTCCCCCGGCCCACCGCCCACCCGCCACGTGCACCGCTCCCTCGCCAGCAATCGCCCCCGTTTTCTCGACCAGAATATCCGTTCAACGATCCCTCTGATCCTGGTCCTCCCCGACCACCGGGTACCCACTTTCCTTGGCGCGACATCATCGACTGGAGCTTTTCCAAGTGAGCCTTCCCTGCCAGGTGTTCCTGACAACAATTCAACAATTGCAAGAATGTTGAGGTTGGCAAGCATCGGAGGGTGTTTGCAGGGTTGACGTTGGCGACAGGACACACTGGGGGCCAGGTGGACGGAGAATTGTTGTGAACGGAAAGAAGGTCCGCGTTGCACGCCGCGTGTTGAGTAAGTGCAGCACAAACAGAAAACATAGCCCAAGCGCCGTTCAGAAAGACCGACGTGGGATGAAAACGACGTGCGGCCTCGTAACAGCAGCGTAGCAGCATCAACCAAAACAGACTATAGTACCAACAAAAAAAATAGAGAATAGATGCAGCGCTGGTGCGAACAACAGCACCCACGCCATAACGATGGGCTGGTTGTGCTTTTCCGTAGTCCACGCACGTGCCGTCAGCAAAGAACACAGCACAGCGCGCGTCGACAGCTCTACAACTGACACTCCGCAAGCGACTCCTCGAAACGAACGTGTCCCACCTGAGAGAGCACGACCGTTCCGCACGCATCCCCAACAGCACCCTTCAACGATTTCTACGAAACTACCATGTAAGCCAGCAAACAGTGGTGAGGCAGCCAAGCTTTAGGGTTGCGACAAACAACGCCCGGGGTGAACAAGACCAGCACCTGTAATTGCGGTGGGCTGGTGAACTGCTTCTTGCAGAGCGAGCACTTGCTGATCTTCCGCTCCTTCTTAGCGGCCTCCACATGCAGCGGTTCTTCCTTGTGCTTCTCAAGGGCCTCCAAGCTGATCCGTTCATCCATCCAGAACATACCGCGTGTGGAGATACGAGATACACGCAACAACGTTGAGGAACGTCGGTTAGAAGGACCAACAAGCCGGGTTGAAGGTCATCGGCAACCTGGACAGGTAGGACAGTTTACGGATCCAATACTATCCATAGCTGCCACTGTTGAAAGCGGGAATCGTCCTCGACAGACGTTGGGGAGATTTTTTTTTTTGCTCCCATCATTGGACTCTGTCGTCGGCCCTTCTGGTCCCTATCCTCCACTTCTACCAGCTAGACCACCCAACCGGGGTCGCAGAGGAGGGGGGGGATTGGACCCCCTCCTGCGGTTCCTGCCTGAGATATTTTTATCGCGAGAAAGGTACAGCAATCCCTTCCCTCGCGACTTATGAAGTCGATCAAGTTTACTAACAACGAGTTTTGCAGCGCGTCGCTTCCAACGGAGACCAGGATTTAATTAGCGACAAAAAACTCGCTCTGTCGGGACTCGAACCCATGACCTGGCCCTTAGCAGGCTGCGAGGCTACCCACTAGACCACCAGGGCGACCGGTGAATGTACCTTCATGAAGGTGGTCTCCACATCAATCCCCGCTTGTTCGAGACTTCTTGTTTGCTAGGCAAGATAAGTCTTCTTGGGGTAACCGGTGCCCGACCGGCTGGCGGCGGGGCGATTCACTTTTTGTTCACAATCCTCTGTGCGTGATTACGCGAGTTCGCTACGTCCGCCACTTCATCAGAAGTTCCGAGTTCGGTTGCCAGTCCGTTTTTCTTTGGCCCACCCACCGTTTTTTCTTTTTTCCGTGGCCCGGAAGAAAATGTGGTGAGCAGCGGGTTTTGAACCCATATCTTTTGCAACCAATAGCAGACACTACGACGATGCCATTGTTGAAAGAGGGAATCGTCCTCGACAGACGTTGAGGAGAATGTACCTTTGTGAAGGTGGTCTACACACCACCGTAAACAGCACAGAGGTATGTCTGCATCACGCCATCGGTGGTGAGGTCGCTATATCGAGAATCGTGGTCCCTAGTGGAGCTGTGCGGCGACAACAATGCACGGCAGTGATGGGACTGTGTTCAACCTGCACATGGAGCCGGATTGCAGAAAACACACTGGTATTTATATACTTCATTATAGGACGAATGACACAACAAACACACACACTGGTGGAATGCTCTCTCTCCCCTGTCAAACGGATGCTTAGGTTGCGAAAGCAAATGCCTCCAACACAGATGTTACCAAAGAGAATTGGAATTCACCATCGTCGGCTAGAAGGAAGAACCAACACGGCCTGTGTCTTTTGTTCAGAGACACACGGATTAAGGTCTACAGCGGTCGCTCATGGGTTGGGGGTGGATTTGCCACCAAGCATCACAGGTAGGCTTGGACCAGCTTGCGAATAAGGTGGAGAAGTTGTCGCAGGGAAGGCACTACTATGCACCAGGTGGAGACTTGTACAACATGGACTATTTCACGAAGAATATTGAGGGAGGAGACGAAACACATCGAATCTGCATACGCCGAGCACGGCAAGGTCTTGCTTGTGGATGTATTTACCGAGCTCATAGATGGTGGCGTGCTCATGGGGTACTGCTGCCTGTACGCTCTCGGCCCTGCCAACAGCAGAAACAACAATGGCCGACACATCACCGCATGATTCCAGGATAAGGCTGAGCGCTGAGTACAGTCAAACTAGCCACACACCTATCTCCCTGGAACTTGCACACTCTACAGTAGAACGGGACCCGTTCGGAAGATCGAGCCTCGTAGTTTGCCAGAAGCTCCTTCACGGCGCTATCAAGCCCTTGCGACGGTCCTGGTAGCGCCGTCGTACCAACAGCAGCACTAGGCTTCTTCTTCTTCTTGTTGTCCTTGTGCACGCCGCACCCCGGGCGCGGCAAGAGATGCGCGGGCAGGGGCTCGATCTTCTCGGCTTCGAGAGGAGATACGAGCTTCGTTGCTCGCCCGCGCTCTTGGCCGGCTCCTCTGTCCTCCTTGCTGCCGGCGTTATCATCGTCGCTGCTAATAGAGCTCTCGGCGTCGCTACTGCTAACGTCGGCGCCTTTGAGCTCCCGCTCAAGCGCCGCGATTTGGTCGTCCACGGTGACGTCTTTGGCAGAAGCGCCGTTCTCGCTTCTACTCCCCCCTTCTTCTTCTTCCTCCTCCTCCTCCTCGCTCGCGTGCTGTCTGCTGCTACCACCGTCCACCCTTTGTCGCTTGTTGTTGGACTGGTTTGCGGGGCTCGGCGTCGCGTCCACACCACGGCCTGCAGGCCGAGAGCGCTTCGCCAGTCCCGCCCGCTTGAGCAGCTGCGACATTGTAGGAGGTCGGAACATCTTTCTGTCTAGTGTGGGGCTAGCCCCGCTCAAGAGTGGCAGGTCTGCTGCTGTTCAAGTGTGGGGCAGCAACCAGCAAACCTACAACCCAATTTGGCAGGTGGTTCTTGGCTGCCGGTTCACAGGTGGTTCTCCGTTGGGGGGACGACAGAATGAGAAGTATGGTGGAGGGGTGCCAAGTTAGCCCTTTCGGAGATTGAACTGCGCACAACAGCACAGCACAGCAGCAGTAGTAGTCGCTCTTACCCTACGCGCTGCAACACACACTCACAGACAGAGAGATGACCGCTCCAGTACCTCCAGCCGGTGAAGACAGCGTAACTGGCGAATCAACACGCCGAGTAACGATCGGCATTCTCGCGCTGCAGGTGAGAACAGAAAAGCTCTGCAGCCGTACTACTGCTGTGCGTACAGCAGTTGGCTGTTTGGATCTGGAAAGCCCCACGCCTGACTGGACACGAGAAACATGATTAGGAACGGTGCGATTGGAGACGTGGGTTTGTGCATACTACCCATCCTTCCATACTAGCAGTAGTGCAGGACGAAGCCTCCATGTTCCTGCCTGTATATAGTTCCAGTGTTGGCCTAGCATAGGCACGGACACCTCACTTCGCTCTGTGTCCTAATATGCATTTCAATTGCTGTACCAGGGTGCGTTTGCCGAGCACTCTTCGGTGCTGTCAAAGCTTGGTGCTGACGTTCGAGAGGTGCGGCTGCCGCATGAGTTCGAGGGACTGGATGGGATCGTCCTTCCAGGTAACTCCCTATAGCTGCGAGGGTTTCCCGCTCGTTGGCCTTGCAGTATCCTGCAGGCTGCCTGGACGGGTGAATGTTTCGAAGCGTTAGGATAGTGTGACCTCGGGTCGTTGGTTGTCTCGGAGAATTTGAGGACAGCAGCTGCGGGGTAAGTGTTCCAACTCCAGCTGTGTTGTAGCATGTCCTAGGTAATGAGGGGTGCTTGAGTACATGAAAAAGTACAGCAGTAGTGACACACGGTGTTCGAGGTTGATCCACTGGCTGCGGCTCAACAGCACAATTCGCAGACGCGCGGAAATCAGACAGTCCACCTTGACGGGGAGGCGTTGTGCGGATGCTGCAGTACAGTAGTCTTGTAGTCAAGCTACCCTGGCACCCGCTGTGTCAAATATATGTCGCTTGGCTACCTTCTGGTACTGGGCCCTCCAGTAATCTCCAGGTATTGCCACGTATTCTGTCGACAGCAGTAGTATATATTACATGTACTACGAAAACCAGGAAAATAAACAATACCCAACATATGCTTGTGCACCCAGTTAGACCTCGAGATTACCCCGTTAGGCTGATTCTTATACACCTGGATTTCTTTCCCAAAAAGCTTCGCTTTTCAGGATGGCCAGAAATCCGGCTTCTTTTACAGCGAGATTCTTCAGTTTTTCGGGTCGACAAAATCCGGGTTCAGCTTTTTAGGTGGCCTCCACCTGAAAAGTTTGAAAGAAGTCAGGATGGCGCCCGCCCAAATTTCTCATCCCAAAAAGTTCACCGCTGGGTGAACTCAGACGACATAATCGGCGAGTGTGACCTGAATGCTTGACGTATCGCTCCCATCAAGGGCTCCCAGCAACCCTACGCCGAAGGGCTTGCTATTCTGCACGCTGGCTGTTGATGGTCGCTAGGCATGCGTGCGTAAAAAACATATCGCATCGCACCAAGCATGGGAGACGCCGCAACAGGCCAAACCGCAACGAGACAGCAGAAAGAGCGGCTTTTTGTCAGAGAGGGGAGGACACCGCAACTGATTTCTCGCTCCCTCAGCCACCGATCGAAGCCAGACCGGTCAGGGCGTGTTCTCTGTTCCTTGCTCTCTGCCGGAGTAGATTTGCTCAGTAGCTCCTTGATCCAATCATTCGAAATCGTCGTCTGCGTGTACACAAGCTGTCTGTTGAAATTTTTTTCCAGGCCTTCAACACATGACTTGTTTTTTTTTGTCTTCACTTCAAGTCAGCGCTCACAGCACATGTAGTGCCGTTTACTCCAACCCGTGGTCACACAGAAGAGCCACTCTCTACCCTCACCTCCTGGGGTACTTTGACTCTATTCTCAAGTCAAACAGACCAGGAAAAATCAGAGTTCGAAAAAGCAACGGGCACCACGCGCATGCTTCTCTCCGTCGATTGAGAGTACGCGCTGCCGAGCAAATTTACTCCGGCAGAGAGCAAGGAACAGAGAACACGCCCTGACCGGTCTGGCTTCGATCAGTGGCCGAGGGAGCGAGAAATCAGTTGCGGTGTCCTCCCCTCTCTGATAAAAATCCGCTCTTTTTGCTGTCTCGTTGCGGTTTGGCCTGTTGCGGCGTCTCCCATGCTTGGTGCGATGCGATATGTTTTTTACGCACGCATGCCTAGCGACCATCAACAGCCAGCGTGCAGAATAGCAAGCCCTTCGGCGTAGGGTTGCTGGGAGCCCTTGATGGGAGCGATACGTCAAGCATTCAGGTCACACTCGCCGATTATGTCGTCTGGGTTGATCTACACCCATCCCCCAAGAATCTACCTCAGGAATCCGGCTCACTGTAAGAACGCCGGACTTTTTGTCAGCCGGATTTTTGCTCATCCTGAAAAGCGAGGTTTATTGGGAAGATAATCCAGGTGTATAAGAAACCGCCTTGACGACCAAAAAAAACATCGCGAAGACCACCAAAGAAAGGTTTGTTTGTTTGTTCACAACCTCGGTGGCCGATTCGGAGTTGACTTCAATAGAGAGAAGAAACTGGGAGTACGTATTCCTGGCTCCTGGTGGAGAGTTGACTCTTCATATTGTTGCATGACACCAGTCTGTAAAACATCCAGGAAACACTACATCAGATTTTCTCTCCGCACTTCGGTTGCCGCAAATGTATGATATTTAGAGTACTTTTCGCCGATGCTCCATTTTTCCCCCTTGAACCCAAAAATCTGTTGCTGGTGGTTTCTAGCTTTGGTTTCTGCGCCCACAACACAAAAAAACTCGCCCCGATCCAAGGCGTTGCCGTCGAGGAATAGCTACTCCCGTTTTGGCTATCTTGGGCAAGAGTTGAGGGGTGATCACCCCAAAAAAACTTTTTTTCAAGAATTCGATCGTCCACAGCGCGTTTTTGGAGCGCACCAGAGACACCATTGGACATACCTACATGCGACGAGAACTCTCAAGGACTAGGACTACCCTATCATGGAGCTAGAGTGCGAAGCCCACGCTCAGAGACTGAAATGGCCGCCGCGGCGAAGCGATGTTGACTTTTATTTTGCTTGGAAACGGAGGCGCCTGATGACACATATTGCAAATCCGAAAAAAAACGATGCCGAAAAAAAAAAAAAAATCAAGGGTGTGTTTGGTACGGTACCGGTATTTTCGGTAAGGTATTTACATCGTACCGAACGTACCGAACACTTCGGTAAGGTATTGAAGTCCATACCGAACGCACCGGTATTTTCGGTGAGGTATTCAAGTCCGTACCGAACGTACCGAACACTTCGGTAAGGTATTCAAGTCCATACCGAACGTACCGAGCATCCCCGGTATGGTATGGCAGTTCATACCGGTACCGTACCGGCGATATCGGTATTTGTCCGGTATTTCTCCCGAGCGTCGCCCCAATATTACAATATTACACGCAATACGCCCCAATACTTACATGCAATATCAATATTGATATCGCCCATCAGGAATATGTGCGTGCGCACAACAGCAAGACCAAAAAAGGTGGTGCGGAGTCAATCCGAATCCGAGACTCTCCCTATTGAAAATGGAAGGCAGGAGAGAACATCAAAATAAAAATTATAATAACACGGGTCTTCATCTTAAATACGGAGTATAATTTTAATTTTAACATCAGTTTTAGTTTCATGATTTGATTTTGGACCCATATTTTTCTCTTGTTTTGCGCTCGAGTTCAAATCCTCCGCCGTGTAGTAGGCAGGAGCAGGCCGTATCACTGGCACACTGCTGCCTCCTCCACCATCCACACCAACCTCTGCCTCAGCAGGTGCTGGCGCCGGCGCTGACGATAATGAGCTTTGGTCGCCAGCTGCGGGATAATCGTTGTTGTTGCTGGAGGGGGGGGGGGCGTTGCTCATGAGGGCGGCTGGTGCTGGTGCGCACCACTAGCTGCTGTACCGATTGAGTAGGGTACGCCGGTACACTGCTGTGCTGCTGTTCTGCTGGTGCTGTGCGTGTGTATGGCGGTATCGGGTGAATATCATGCCTAACTTCCCGATTAGCCCGATACCGGTACGCTCGGTACCGGTATCGCACCGGTACCGGTATTTACATCGTACCGAACGTACAGAACACTTCGGTAAAGGTTTTGAAGTCCATACCGAACGTACCGAGCATCCCCGGTATGGTATGGCAGTCCATACCGGTACCGTACCAAACATCTCGGTATTTGTAACGAACGTACCGAAAACTTCGGTAAGGTATTGAAGTCCATACCGAACGTACCGGTATTTTCGGTAAGGTATTGAAGTCCGTACCGAACGTACCAAACACTTCGGTAAGGTATTCAAGTCCATACCGAACGTACCGAACATCTCTGCACCGGTATACCGGAGGTATAATACCGCTGGTACGCCTCGGTATGTACCTTGCCAAACACACCCTTGGAAAATTCACACATACTCGAGCGTTGCTTCACCCGTCTCCCGCCGCCCACAAGTTGCCACAGGCGACCCTGAGCAGATGCACCGCTTGCCCTGCTCACACTGATTCTCGGAAGCTATCAACTTTGCTCGTCCTCGATGAATTGGTCCCGATATGTGCGTGAGCGTGTTTTCTAAAAGCTTGAAGTTGGAGCCTGCGGCCGACTCTTCAGCCGAATTAGACCCAAATCTCTTGCTTCCACCAAAACAAGCTCACGCACATATCGGGACCAATTCATCGAGAACGAGCAAAGTTGATAGCCTCCGAGAATCAGTGTGTGCAGGGCTAGCGGCGCATATGCTCAGGGTCGCCTGTGGTAGCTTGTGGGAGGCGACAGAACGGATAGAAACAGCACCTCGAACTGCCCCTGACGGCACCTTTTTTTTTCGGTCTATTTTCCTCCGCTCTCATCATCGGCGTATGTTCCGACTCTGCTGCTGCTGTAAATGCATACATATGCATGCACTGCTGCTCCAGCTGATAGGCTGTTCTAGTTCGCCTGATCGGCTGCTGTTGTGCACATGATCCTTTGCTGTTGAACCTGTGACTGTGTGTATTGTGTGCAGCGCACGTAGTACGCTTTGGTGTTGTTTACAAAGTTTACAAGTGGAGTCGTGTTTTTCAGCGTTTTGATGACGTACCCACCTGTTTTTGGGATCGTTGATTGGTTACTTTGAACTGGCTCTAGTCTGTTGGGCTACCGACCACTTTTTGGCCAAAAAAACTTGTAATCTCGAGGCCTGACAGTAGCAAGAAACAAATAACACACATACCACGAACTCATATCACCCCATCCAATCCGAATAGAAGCTTGTGACTTGTGACAGAAGGCTTTAACCTTTTCTGTAGAAAAGTCTCGGCCGGGTGCAATGTGCCGCCACCCTCTTGCGTCGTCGTTCTTGAGGCCATATGCATGGCCTGTGGAATGGCGGTAATACTCTCCAAGCATTGCCATGTTCTGCGTCTACAGCAATTGGGTATTTTTATGTAGTAAAGTCTCTTCCGTGTATAATCTACCGTCACCCTCTTGCGACGTAGTTCTCGAGGCCATGGCCACGGCCTGTGGAGTGGCGGTAGCAGGGGCACTTCGCCGGGGGCTCCGTCGCTAGGCAACCAAAGCTCATGCTGAGAGCGCTCCTACCTTGTCCTGTGGCTGATTCATTCCTATGGTGCTGTGGATAGCAGACAGACCCCCCCTCGTTTTCGCTGCACATGTTCTTACACCATAGAGACATTCCTCACCTCAGCCCCTTGGAAGCATTTGCCCCGATAATTGCCACTGCAGTATGATGACTCTCTCGTTGGCTCTCGTTGACGACCAGATTGCAAGAAGCCGTTGCCCACCGGCGCCGAACAGGTTCTGTCTGGACTAACGTTTTCGTCTTGACTGTTTTTTGCTTAAATATATGCGTGCACATCGAGTAAAGGCGGCGAGAGCACCGCCATGGCACTTATCGGGGAGAGGTGGGGGGTGTTCCCGCGGCTGAAGCAGTGGGTGTCGGAGGGACGCCCGGTCTGGGGAACTTGCGCCGGCATGATCCTCCTGTCCGACCACGCCCTCATGCAGAAGAAGGGGGGGCAATCTCTCGTGGGGGGGCTCAATGTGGAGGTAAGTCCCGGAGAACAGACATAACACGATTGATTGATTGATTGGTCCAAGATTTGTGTGAATGAAGCTGTAGTTCTCGTGCAGCCCTATAAGCTCGAAAAGGCTCAGCAACGGGGCAAATCCCAGGTGATGAGATTGTTGACTAAAAGACGCTGTCGTTGAAGTCCGTCAATCTAGCGCAATTGCTTTGTCACTGTCTGTCTGCTTCTCTAGCTCTTGGCTGCCTTTTGTTAGCCTCTCATGACTCTTGGAGGGTTGAGCCATGATGGTTGCGATGGGGACGCGTCGCCGATGGTCGTTAATACGTATGTACCACACCTCGAGTTGAAGGGCCCTGACCGATTCCTTTTCTCTCCCCCAGTGTTAAAATTGTCGTTGCCCCTGCGCAGGTGTCTTGGATATGGACCGTTCTGCTTTTTTGCTCTTACGTCGTTACTCGATGACATTTTATTTTGCTGCTTGTGGTGTTTACTTTGAATGGGGCCACACACGGCCATGTCACTTTTTTGTTGTTGCGGAGTGAACGAAAAACACAGATCAAGAACCTATGGCGGAATCATGGCACCAAGTTTGGATCTCAGTACCCCCCCCCCCTCCCCTCGCCACGCCGCCCCTCTCCCTCCTTTCGTGCCCGCCAACACACGTCTCAACTTCTGTGAACTCCAGATTTGTAGAAACTACTTCGGCGCGCAGACGTCCAGCTTCGAGGTGCCGCTCGACACGTCGGCGCTCGAAACCGGGTCTGTCGGTAAAAAGGATGAGGTTTCGGCAAACAAGAACCCGTACCCCGCCGTGTTCATTCGCGCGCCGGCGGTTCTAGAGGTAAAGCTGTGCATCTGTGTTTATTGTTTGTGTTGTTGGAGGCGTATCATGCGAGCGTGGTTGGTGGGATTCCACGGGGCACCGCAGAGCGCGCCAATGGGGGGTATCTCTCACAACTATATTCAGAACCAAGCACTATATCGCTCTCTTTCTCGTCCTCTGCCGAGAAGAAAGTGCCATTCGGCATCATGGGTTTGCGATGTGTACGGAACGTTTTTTTATTGTGGAGACAGCAAGAGCAGCAACCAACCCCTCGTTCCATGCAAGATAATTCGAAAGTTCGGAGATCGTCCAAAGGTTGGGAGATGCCTCGTATCAGAAAAACGTTATGGTGTTTTGTCTCAAAAAAGAGATGCACGCGTATTGAACAGGAGAGGAAGCCAAGGAATGATTGCGTTTACACCATACGACCACCCCACCCCGCCTCATCGACCTACAGGCCGGTCCCGGTGTAGACGTCCTCTGCAAGGTGCGATCCAGGCCGTGCAACCAAGCTATCACCGTCATGAAGGCACAACTACAAGAAGAAGAAGCAGACCACCGCGACGATGACACCCGCAGAGCGAAACGCAGAAGGCTAGCCGCGTTTTTCGTCGAGCCTAATCCGTCGACGGCGGCTGTTTCGGGGGAGGGTGGCGGGGCGGGCAGCGGCGCTAGCACCGGAGAGAAAGAAGCCCCCGAGGTGATCGTCGCGATCCGCAAGGGCAACATCGTGGGAACCGCGTTTCACCCCGAACTCACAAACGACTCCCGCTGGCACGAGTACTTCGTGAGGATAGTCAAGGAGGCGGTAAGCGCAGGGGCCGGGGGGGTCCGCGATGCGGAATCTACCACGAAAACGCCTGCTGGTGCCGCTGCAGCAGCCGAGGCCGAGGTTGCCGTGGCGTAGACGCGGTGCGGGCTTCGACTCGAAGATTTTGGGCTGGTCAGGGATGTTCCACGAGCCCCTCCCACTTTCCATACCCTGCTGTCCGATGTTCATGTTTTTGATATCCCCCATTTTTGAATCCTGGGAAAGGTCGTCCACGGGGAGGTTTTGTACTTGTCCAAGTTTGCCGACAAAGGAGTCCGCTGTGTCGTTGTTCGGTGTGCCGTCAAAGTTAAACGGCAGCTGTTGAAAGACCGAGTACCCGTTTTTTTTGTACTTGCGTTGACTCCTTGTTTTTTCCCCGGCGGTTGCCCTCTATCGGCGACCAAGCAGATTTTTGAGACGAAGTTTTACGCATGTGTGGGTGTGCGTCATTCTTGACGCGTTTTAGGTTTGACTACAGGTGTTTTTGGGAAGGGACATGACTGAGAAAGGCCCTTAGCGTAGCTTGTGCCGGTGGTGGTTTTGCGGGATTTGGCGTGGTGTCCCGTTCTTGTAGTGTGCACGCCGGGAAACAAAGGCCACAGCGCCGCTGCTGCTGCCTGTTGTACATACCATGGCTGCTGGCCGGTTGGCGCGCTGACCACGCCTCTTTGTAAATGCAGAGCACCGCGGAAGTAGTTAGTGATGAGAGTTGACTTGCTTGAGGCTTGAGAGGCGAGAAAGTTTACTTCGGGCGGACTGCGGTTATGATGGGATGGATCATCATTCGATGGTATGGTGAGGTCCATGGTGTAACGTCAACGCGTGGTATATGGCAACCGGAGAGGCGACGTGACAAGGGATGATTGTGATGTGTTTTCGGTGCTAACAGGAAAAGGATAATCTTACTCTTCCACGATGATGTGCGAGGCGGCTTTGCTTTGGCGGAGTGTCCGCTTTGTGGGCGGCTCCGTGAACAGAAGCACGTGACCCTCCGGGAGTGTCAGGTTCAAAACGTGTGATTCTCTCAGCGTACACATCGTAACCCCTCTCGTTTGTACTCTACGCAATATGTGTTGCACACGTACGCGTGGTACTCCCGCGAGACAGATTCGTGGTTGCTGCTAGTAAGGCTAGATGTTTGACCCATTTACCCCTTACGATAAAAGGCGCCTGTTTGTTCCGTCCGGCCGCTGCTCTTGCACCAGCACGCACAGGCGGAGAGCCCAACCTGATGTGTACCGTCTATCATCACCCGTCGATCTGCTCGCTGCACACACTCGTGTCTGTGTTTTCTGTTGCACCGTGTAAGCACGCCTCAGCTTTGATGGCAATACGGGCACTTCGAATCAACCTTGCCAATTGTGGCAGGTAAGATCGTGGGTGACAGACGGAGCCGGTGCATGCTTGCGTCATTTGAGTGTTTCTCGAACGCTGAGCTCACGCCAGAGAAAGAAAGGAACATGGCTGAAATACGTGGGAAGCATGAGGAAGGCAGGAGGTACAAGGTAAACGGGCATGTTTTGTTGGCGTTGTCTTGACCTCGCAGAAAACACAAGTTTTCTTCTCAGACCAGCGCCCCATTCATTCTCATGATCGTTTTCCTTTTCATGTTCATCTTTAACGAGGAACAGTTGTCACAGGCTGACCCAAAATGTGTCAAGAGAAAACGAGAGAAAGTAAAAGCAGCCCTGCCGCAAGCAACAATAAAACTTACTTAGGGGAAAGCAAAAAAAAGCGCTCCGTTTCATCGTACATATGCATAGTACTTTACGTACTGTATGGCGCGGGATACAAAAGCCCGTTGCCAGCGGCTGAAACCAATGAATATCAACATTAGCATTATTTTCCATCTTCGCCTGTTCGAGAGGTTGCGGTGCAGCACGTTGCGCCTATCCTCTGCTCTCCAAGCGACATAGTTGCACAATGTCCAAGGCATCTAAGTAGATACGTTTTTCTCCATCAGAAAATTCGCGACGCACCCAAACTCTCTTAAACCTACACTGCGTGTGCGCCCGGCCGCCCCTCCCACATCAACATCGTCAGTAGGGTACTTGCAACTGACAATACGACAGGTGATACAGTCGGGTGCCCCAGCATGTCATCAAAACTGCATCGGTCTACCCTTAGGTTCCCGACTCCTTTGTACAGCAGTAGAGTGAAATGAAGTGCATGCTACGATAAACGACGTCTTAAAAGAGCCCCGCCCGGTCATCTTCCTCTTGTGGCGGGGACGCGTTTTTTCTTCGACTCCGATGACGACGACGGCCTTGTTGCGCTTCTTGTCGGCTCTGATCCCGCGGGGGGGGCTCGCCCCGGGTGGTTCTTGTGGCCGAGGGCTCCCAAGACGGAGGTAGCCTTGAGGAGCATTTCTTCGTACTCGTCGTCGACCTCGGAGAGGGCGATCACGGCACCACCGGCACCCACCGTTACATTCTGCGGAGTCACCTGCACGAGTATCGCGGCGACCGAGGATTGTTTTGGTAACGAAGTTTTGGAGGTGGGACATGGACGTCCAACTGAATATTTTGGTCGCGGTGTGGTTTGCCACAGGATCAGTTCTGCAGACTTATTGGTCCACAGGTACTTTATTGGTAAACACTTCGTGACCTTCGGGTCTGCGCGATGGGCTCTACTTTTACGTTTCTATGCTCTGTACCCCTTCTTTCGGTCGCGTTTTCTTGATTTTATAGTGGTTGGAATTTCTATATCTTGGCGATTTTGCTCCATGTGTAGATCGTTTGGGATAGTTCACCAGTGGCCGCGGAACTCTTGTCTTCACCGTTTGAAATGGCAAGGACGAGCAGTAGTGGTCCGGAAGACAGCGGAACTTGTACGTCAAACGAGATCCTGGATAGAGACCGCAAAGTTACTATCAAGGCAAGGACAGCAACACGCCCAAGGCATGCACCTACAACGGCTCAAAAGAGTTGCACACAAGCCACCACTCCTGTCCACGACAGCAAGATACACACCACAGCGGTTCGGATGACGATGTTGAAATCTGCCGCTCCGTCCACCCCGAGAAAGCCGATGCTTCCGGAGTACACACCCCTAGGCCTCCCCTGCTCCAAGCGATCGATGATCTCCATGGTGCGCCGCTTGGGTGCGCCGGTCATGGATCCCCCTGGAAACGCCGCGGCGATGGCGTCCAGGGCTCCGCAGTCGGGCCTCAGCCGTCCGCGGATGGTCGAAACCAGCTGGTGTTATTTACGTCAAAAAGTCCAGAGGGGTGTCATGAGCAAGAGTCGAGGGTTTGTTGAGTCTTCTGAATGGAACAATTAAAGTTGTTGTGAGCCGTAAGGCGAAGAGGTTGGGTCTTTGAGAGGAGAGCTTTGAGCTTGACTCCTCATGACGACAGGTTATCCTTGTGCGAAGTCGCCCGTGCAGCCCGCACACATGAAGTAGACGCTGTCGCTGCGACAACAATTTCAGGTTTACAGATCCCGTGTCCAATGAGAAAAGGGCAGCACCGTGTGAGAAACAGACGGTATTTCGACACTCAACGGATCTTTCGACACTTCGGGCGTAGCAACACAGGGGAGGGAACCGACGACTCACTTGGTGGACGGTTGCGTAGCTTTCGACGTGCATCAGCTTCGGCACGCTGACGGAACCAGTCTGGCACACTCTGCCCAGGTCGTTCCTCACGAGGTCCACGATCATCAGGTTCTCGGCCATGTTCTTCTCGCCCTTCGCGAGATCGGTCGCTAGGATAAGGTCTTCGGCGGGGGTCTTCCCCCTGGTTGTTTCGTGGATTTTCGTAGGGTATGGAAGCCGCCGATGGAGAGAGACGCGAACGAAAAAGAGAGCGAGAGACATGCGGGACAATCAATCATCCAAGGGAGAGAAATCGCGAGCACAAGAAGCAAAGGCAGGGGGAGGATCAACGAAACAGTGAAGTGAGAGCGGGACATCAAATACTTATGGGGAGAGAGATAGGCGATGGAGGAGCTGGCCGGGCGGGAAAGAAAACCCCACCCTTTCCCTCACCTCTTGACAGTCCCTTTGATGGGCTTGGACTCCACCCATCCGTCGCCGTCGACTTTAAGAAACTTCTCGGGCGAGGAGCAGCACACAGCAAACGCGGGCCCGTCACCACCACCTCCGCCTGTCTCCGCTTCCCCTCCCGCACCGGCGTCGCCATCAGCCGTAGAGGAGGAAAGGCGCCTGTTCGGGTCATGCACGATGTACGCCGCGTACGGGGCGGGGTTGGAGCGCCGCAGCCGAGAGTACAGATCCAGGGGGGGGGTGGCCGACGCCCCGGCCCCCTTCGGGCGCTCGCACACGATCTGATTGGTCAGGCAAACTTCGTACGTCTCGCCCTCCCCGACCAGGCGCATGATCTCCTCCAGGCTCTGCTCGTACCGTGAGCGGTGGACGTCCATGGCGCACGCCGTGCCGACTTTGCCGGCGGCCCCGTTCAATGCCGCCGGGTTCGTCCCCGTTGCGGCATCGCCCTCGCAAACACCATGCGACAGCCTCAAGCCGCGGAGAGATGCCGCGGTGCGTCGAATCCAGTCCAGAGCGTCATCCCTCGCGGGGTGGGAGGTCGGGGCCGACGCTTGTGCGTCGTGCCTGCGGCGGTCGTCGTCATCATCGTTCGACGATGTCTCGGCATGCGAGAGAGCAAGAACAAACGCCTTCCCCTGTTCGTGGTCGAACGCCACGAACCTGTCGACGAAAACCAGAAAGCCAAGGGGGACATCGCCGCCGCCGCCGCCGCCGCCGTGCCGCGGATCGGCGGAACCATTCACCCCGGCATGGCATCCTCCGCTACCAACGGGTACCGCTGTTGACGCGCTTTCTCCCGAGCTACCGTGGTCGCTGTGGACCGCCGCCTTTCCCCCAAAGGCAGAGTCTTCCCACTCCCCACCGCCAAGTGGCTGCCAGTCCCATTCGGTACCCCCCGCACTGCGCCTCATCACGTCCGTCGCCTCGTGGCGGAGCTCATACCCTAGGAAGCCCACGAATCCACCCACGAAGTCGAAGGGAAGTGTCCCTCTCCTATCCCCGTCATTACTCGCCCGACCGTCATCATCAGTATCATCTCCCCCTAGGATGCCTTCACTAGACCCTTCTCCGTTTCCAACCATGTGAATCTCGATGCCGCCGCTGTCGCCTTCTCGGCTGTTTGCGTGCCCCATCTTGGCCATCTCCGCCTTGAGGTAGTCCATGATGTTGGCGCGCACCTCCCGTCTGTTTCCATCCTTCTCCGCATCAACCGCATCTTCGCCCCCCGCGTGCTGAATCACCAGCCGGCCCCTGCCATAGCACTCGATGGTCTGCGAGAGGGGGCCGCCAGCGCCGCCCATGAACGTGAACCGGGCTTTCGCCTGCCCGTCGACGGCCAGGCCCGGTCGCTGGCTGCTGCTGTCCAGCCACCACGCCGTGCGGTCATCGCCGTACAGCACGCGGAACGCGTGCTCAGTGTCTGGCATGGTGGACCTCGATCTTCGCCTGCTGTCGCCTGGGCCGCGCCCCTCGTCGCCATCGTTCAGGGCAATCTCCGCCATGTCAACCTCTTCCACGAGCAAAACAAAGGGCTTTCGTCTTCTCGAAGCGGGACGAGAGCGGCGGCGATCTGGAAGAGGCACCGATGCTGCTGCCGTTGTGTCTGCGACTACCGGGATGACAATATCTACAGCTGTCTCCTCGCTGCTGCGCGGGAACAGAGCCGACGACGCCCTCGCCGCCGTCTCCTGCTCCGCTCGTGGTTTACCGTAAAAGTTCCTGACCATGCCGCTAGGCAAACCTCTGTGTAGCCTCATGCTCGCTGTCGGTGAAGCAATACCGCCACCGATACCGACGCCGCCCCCGTTCGCCGCCGCCGCCCCCCGCCCTCCATGCCACGCGACCGTCAGATCCCTGAAGTTTCGGACGATGTCCGACCCGTGCCTGGTCCCCACGCTCTCGGGGTGAAACTGCACCCCCCAGTGAGGCCGCTCCTCGTGCCTCATCGCCATCAACACCCCGTCTCCCGTCCAGGCCGTCGCCCTCAGCGGCCCCTCCGCAGGCAGAGTGTGCCCGTCTACCACAAGGGAGTGGTACCTCACCACCCTCGACCCTTGCGGAACCCCCCGAAACAAGGCGTCCTGCCCGTCGTGAAAGACCGGCGACAGGCGTCCGTGCATAGGTTCCGGCGCCCTGGTTACCGTCGCGCCGTGCTCCAATCCTAGCCCCTCGTGCCCCAGGCATACCCCCAGGATGGGAATGTCGACGGCCTCGCTCAGGGCTTGCGCGCACATCCCGAAGTCTTTGGGCACGTCTGGTCTTCCTGGGCCGGGGGAGATGACGATGTTGTCCGGGACGCGACCCATGCGCTCGATGGTTTTCCTGCCCGCACAATACAAGTGGCACACGTCAGTATTTTAGAGGGAAGCCCCGTATAGTACGGGCTGTGGCACAAGAAGCGTGCGAGGAGTGCAAGCGTGTATTTCTCACGATAACCCTTAGAAACTCTGGACAATTTACCCCGAGAAACCCGGAGAAAACCCTGGAAAGGTTTTCCTCTAGGTAGGACACACTCCGTAACAGCGGTATCTCCAAGTATCTCTTTGTTTTTGTCATAGACAATTTCAAACAATCAAGAGCACAGCATGGAACCAAACACAAGAGTTTGATACGAAAGCTTTGCTTGTAGCGCTCTGATTCCAGTACATATCCTTGGGGCGAAACTACAGCTGTATACTGCTGTAACTTCTCCACGGGGTCCCAACAAATGCAAGTTGTAAGCGGTACAGCAGTTTTGGTGCGTAGCTCGACGACGAAACAAGACGAAAAAGATACGCGCCGTTCGAGTCCGACTCACCACAAATCCCCGTCGTCGTCGTCATTGAAAACGACAAAGGGCGCCCGCCCGTTGACGACCGCCAGCAGCTGGAACAGGTTATACGTGTACGAGTCGTAGTTGTCGATCAGCAGAGTGTGGACGTCAGCACCCCGCGCAGCATCACCCCGATCGGTGCTCGTGGTATCCTCGCCAACGCCGTTGCTGGTGCTCGCGAAGCGTCCCAGCAAGCCTCTTTCACGCTCGTGGCACCTTTTCCTAGAGGCCAAACCGGAGACCCACCAAAGACGCGAACTGCCAGCAGTGGTGATATGCAACCTTCTCCTGCTGCAGCCATGCGTTGGGGCTGGGCTGTGGACCAGCCCTTGCGACCCGATGTTCAACAGCGGCAGCACTGCTAGAGCTCGGAGCAGAGCTGCTCGTGGATTCGGCTTCCTATCCCTCCTGCTGTGGGCATCGCCATCCGCAGCACCACCGCCATCACCGGTATTTCTTTCGGCAGAGCTTCTCCTCATGGGGGGCTCCTGCCGCAGTCCCTCGGATCTGGTCTACGGCGCGAGTCTTTGCTTCCTTCTCTCTCTTTCCATCTCTCAATTGGTTGCAGGCTGGACTGTCGTAACGGCGGTTTGTTGACCAATGAGGCACGAGCCAGCACACGGCGCGCTCATTTCAAGATGCTACGTAGATGTCAGCACCACTGGCTAAGCTGGGCGGAGGGAGCACGATAACGACGACTATGAACAAGCGAACGAGATTAGGCGTGGCCTTGTTTGCGGTGGTAAATGCTCATTTCTCGGTGCAGCGTGTCGGTGCCTTTGCTGTGCGTTCTTGCGCAAGATGCATGAGATCTCAACCTGCGATGACGGTGGACTCGCCCCCGCTCAGTAGAGCCCAGATGTTGAGAGCAGTTCCTGTACTAGTGGGCGTGGCGGCCTTTCATTCTGCAACGCCAGCGGAGCCTGCACGGGCTGCTCTGCCTACAACAGAAGATTACGCTTTTGGTACCGGCTCAAAGGTACGTCACACACGCAATGGTCGCAGACTGGACTTGTTTTTTTATTATATCACACAACAAATTTTGTTTTTTCTCAGGATGAACCCAAGGAATCTTCTAATACTTGTCAACGCTAAACTACATGTGAAACGCATGCGTACAACAACCTGCTGTGTTTTTTTGCGAAACGACATGCTTCCCTTACTACAACAATACAATTATAATCCACATGGGCCATGACTGCATGAATGGATTGCAACGGCTAGGTGTACAGCGCGCAGTAGGCGGTCTTCGTGCTGGTGTCTCGCACACCTCTCCCTGTACAATGCTGATGATCCCAGCCACTGCGGGGGCGACACGTACGACGTACTCGCAAATGATTGCTCCAGACTCCTCCCAGCTCCTGTGACACTCCCATGATTTCGTAGTCTTTCTGTATGTGTATTTATTTTTCCTTAATGATTTCATCAGACCTCTGCACGGACCTCCGCGTCAACACAAGGACAGGAGTCGAAGGATGCCTGTCCAGACTGTTCTTTGTCTGAACGGAGAAAACGGGCGGCATCCTCGTCAGCAGTACAAAGCAGTCCTTCAAAGGTAGACAAACACGCCAAGATGTGGTTGTATCTGTGATATCAATCTGTTCTCACCGGACGGCACCCTTGGTCGTCCCTAGTAGGAAGGGTATCCAAAGTCAAGCCCTTATTTCCTACATATCACTGTTGGCAGGCTAGCCAAGACGAAGCACATCGCCAAATGGTGACTGTTGGATAGTGTATCGGGGCCATCTATGCATATTGACGCCAGCCACTGACTTGAAAAAAAACAAATGGCGGATTTCCTTGGGCAGTGCAGCGCTTGGCTATTACCAGTCTTGTCTACCTGTCTGCTTGGCATCCATTTGTCGAAGCCAGCCTTGACACCATAAAAAGTTTGATTTCAACTGAACACGTTTTACACACGAGCCTGGGGACAGGTCCAACACACCAACGCTACGTTAATTCAACCCGTCCGCCGTCGTTCGTTCTGTTGTGCACGTTGAACGCCCGTACTGTACAAAGGTCAAGAGGCCCGAGGTACAAGATGACCTGTCGGTAAGTACCACAGCACCGCCAGTGAAGTTGACTACCGAGGGTCCGGGAGTAATGCGGCGCGGCCCGGGACTGGCTGGGCTATGTAGCCGGGGAGTGTTTTAGACTGAACGTGGTTGTAAGCCATGCCGTGGGGTCCCATTGCACCTATTTTGGAAAAATGTTATGACGCGAACGCTTGCTGGCGGTCCATGACAAGGCCTGGTTAAGTTGTTTTCCCGCCCGCAGGAGTTGTAAATACCACATGTGTTTATTGGGTTTACATTAACAGCTAAGAACTGGCAGACCAATGAAAAATATTTCAGCGTTACGGAGACACGAAGTGCATTGTATTGGTGTACAATCAAGTTACGCGCCTTTTTGCCACAACGCCAGGCTCCGCTCCCGAAGTCATCTGTGAACCCTGACAACCCGGTGGAGGTGGTGAGAGCTGTGTCCGGGGAGCTGGATCGCATGCAGACGCTGGTGAACAAGGAGGTTCGTGGTCGTGTTACACCTTTCATCACTTTTTTTTCAAGCGGTATGAGCAGGGAAGGCAAGTGATGCGGGCGTTGGCAGACAACGAAGTTGTGAAAGCTGCAAAATCTGCAACAGCTGCAGCTGAAACAGCTGGTCGCTGAACGGGCGAGTTCCCCCAACGCAGAAAGGTCTTGAGAAACCAGGATTGTCCGCTTCGCTCGTTCTCACTCTCGAACCAAAGAAGGCAACGGGCCCCGTCGTTCGGTAGAGAGGACCGGCTTAATTCGCACGATGCAACACTCCGGGCCACAGGATACAACGAAATACCAACTCCACCTCGGAACCTCGTGCGTTTTGCAACATGGCCGATGCTCTTGTCGCGGAAAACCCTTTGTCGCGGCGTGCGGCATGTGGGCCAACGATATTGTTGCCTGGGAATCTCTTGTTGGGTGGGGCAGCGCTGGGGAGACGCGCTAACGCGGCTGAGGAGCTACCCGTTGACGGCCCTGAAGAGCCCAACGTTGGGCATGAAGTCAGTGGGAGATGTGGCCCGCGCACTCGGAGTCAGCAATTCTAAGGTAACGTGTGTGCATACGACTGTGTGCTGAGTTCCCACCGCACGCACCCACCTACCCTCGTGTGCATGCCTTCTCCGTCCTGGGAAAACTTGTCGCGCTGTTGTCCCGACGTGTCTTGTGATAGTTCACTTTCGCTGCAATGTTCGTGCTTTTTCTTCGCGGTCAGGCTTCTGATATCCTGGAGGCCAGCATGGAAGCAGGGTTAACTCTCAGGCAGGTGGAAGACGTGGTGTTCAGCAACACCCGCACGCTTGAGTTCTTCAACAGTGCCGACTATAAGCAGGTGATGACTCCCTTCTGTCTTTCGTAGACGGCGATAGAAGACGGCTTGAGTTGGTGCGGAATATCGAGGCAGAACGCAGAATTTGAAACCGTTTTTCACGTTCGGGCGCCACACCACAGAATCTTCGCACATCAGAACGTTATTTGTGGTCTAGTCTCCCACGAATAGAAGAAAATATCCCTAACAACAATGAACATCGTAGGGCAACAAGGCTTATCTTCTTTGATTATCCCGGGTTGCTTGTTGGGACGAAGGGGAAGCCATGTAGAAACCGCCCAACATGGTCTCTATGGATGGACATTCCATGTGTGGGTCGCTCGTTTGCTTGGCACCCCATTCTCTCGGCCATGCAAGTCACGGAAGCGTATGTGTTGCGGTGTTATACCTGCTGGCAGGGGTCTTGGACACGACAGTCGAGATCGAGACACTTTTTCTTTCTCGTCTCGTCGATTCTGAGCCCCAGTCTACACCTTCTTTTCTCGCCCCATCGATTCTGGGCGCCACTCTTCACTTGTCGTCCCATCGGTTGTGGGTATCAATCACCCTATTCCCGTTCAGCTCGTCCTATCGATTTAAGAGACCACTCATACCCTTCGGTGCATGTTTAATACACCAGTCGGGGTCGCACAAGACGACGACGGTCTTTCTGTCCTCCATTGGAGCTTGCCGAAGGGTTCAGCAAATCTCTCCCCTCATTGTCATGCGTTCACGACTAATAGGATTTTGCATTCGGTCAACAAAAACGACACATCGTGCGTGCAGAAAAATGGACTCGGCTTCTTACAAAATAAAGGGAAATATGGATGAGCAACATGCCTCAAGAGAGCGGTAGATCCCACACCCCAAGATATTCATTCTGCATAGCAGTAGCCCATGCTCAACAGTGGCCAAGACATGCAAAGCTGAGCCTCGCTCGTTACTGGACGTTTCTCATTGCCTGCCCCAATTATTTTTTGTAGATGCGTGCCGTGACTTCCGATCGCCATGGCTTCAGATGGATTTTTTGCGTTGTTCCTCCCGTGCTGTCCAATAGAATGGCAACGTGACCGTCAGTCAACTTGGGCATGTCTCACTAACTAACAAGTTTTCCGGCGACTTGAACAATCATGTTGGAACAAATTCAGGTTGAAGACTTGGCCAAGGATCGGACGCCCACAGACCTAACGGAGCCGTTACAACTGCTTTCCGACACCAAGAAGTTGGTGAGAGGCGTGGCGGACTTGATGGGGGCTCCGCAATAAATGGGGGTGGTCCCCCTTCTGTCCCTCTTTGTTGGTTCAGAAGTGTACCAGTGGGCTCCCTCCACTGACCGGCAGAGGGACGGGAGCATCCCTGGACTCTCTCTATGTCCCGTGTCGTTGGTTGAATGATTCAACTAGAAGAAAGCCTGCTCCTGAGATGATGAGTAACCTGCGGTTGACAAGGGGGTTGCCTGGCGGCAATGACATCTCACTCGAAACTTCAAAGACTGGAGAGAAGTCGGTAGCGACGCCGTACAGCTTGCGTGTGAGCTCCACTACATCTGGCTGGCGATGGTGACATCCCGCAGTTTTGAGCCACTAAATTCATGACAACGCACAGAGGTTCCCGTCGTTGCCCACCAGTTTTTTTGGGTCACACACAACGATACTGTTGTTGTTCGTTCCAAGCACGGGGGCGATGGCATAGTGGTATGCCGTTTGACGTCACGTTGTGGCACGGGGATGCCCTGTTTGGTTGGGGTGGTGGTGGTCGACGTTTCCAAATTGCGCAAGGAGTGTCTCGCGGCGGTGTTGCGTGATCATAGGGAGGGGAGTGGGTCGATATCGTCGTGTGTGCTGCACGCTGCTTTCGGCGGCATGTTGTTGGTTTCGTCCCCGTCGATTCTGCCAGTTTATGCTGTGAGCGCTGATTTGAAACGAAGACAAAAAAAAAAGTCTACACCTTTGGGTACATGCACCGATGTGCCAGGGGCTGTGAAGAGACTCTGTCCTGTAAGTTTATCTGTCGAACGCGTACGTGTTTCTGGTGTTCAGGCCGCATTTTTCGCACGAAAACACCCGGTCGGCCTGGTGGTCTAGTGGATAGCCTCGCAGCCTGCTAAGGGCCAGGTCATGGGTTCGAGTCCCGGTAGAGAGTTATTTTCTCACTAAATAAATCCTGGTCTAGGATGAAAGCGACGCGCTGCAAAGCTCGTTTGTTAGTCAACCATAATCGACTTCGTAAGTCGCGAGGGAAGGGATTGCTAAACCCTTCTCGCGATAAAAATACCTCAGGCATGAACCGCAGGAGGGGGTCCAACCCCCCCTCCCATGTGACCCCGGTTGGGTCGTCTAGCCAGTAGAAGTGGAGGATAGGGGCCAGAGGGGCAGACGGCAGAGTCCAATGATGGGAGTAAAACAAACAAAACAAAACATGTGTATCCCAAAAATGGTGTTGGTCGAAGGAGGGGAGGTGCTGGTTCGCCACGAAAATCATCCGCGTTTTTGCAACTTTAGAGGGCACATTTTTCGTCGGGATTGTATCGCGTTACACTCGACTGATCGAATTTGCGGGAATACAGGACGACCAGAGGTGCTCCGCGTTGCGCTTCGAATGTGAAAGGAATCTACACGCCGATCATAAGTCGTTCGCGACAAGACAAGCAGAGCAGCATGAGCCGCTGAATTTTGCCGGCGTCACTACCATCGCATCGCATCCTTGGCAAGTCACACTCCGTCAGACATGTGACTGCGCTCGATCATTCCTTTCTCGATGGGGGGGTTGAATCTTCTTTCTGATTTATGCTCACAAATCGAAGCGCATTTCCTGTTTCACAGTGTATGCAAACTAGCATATTTTTATGCTCACAAATGGAAACGAGCTACATGCAAAAAGAAAATTACTTTTTGAGCTGATTGCTATTAGAGACGCGCAACACGAAGACCAACGGTTAACCATTCCCTGGGCCGTCGATTCGGTCAGTGCGTTTCCATACTACACAAGTCTACAGCATATACTTTTACAAAAAAACGATCACAATGAAAACAAAGCACTCAAACAACTAGCACGCGTCTGGTACGCGTTTCCAAGAGAGCGGACACTGCACTACCTACATACCATTGTACATACATAACCTTAGAGCCAACAAACACAAACAGACGCGCCGACCTGGTCTCACCAATAGACAAAACAAGAGCTCCAGGTAGAAGCTTTGATAAAATAACCTATCGACACTATCGCACCCCGTTAGCTGGGGCTTGAACAACCTGAGCCGCAAGGGCTCTCATCCACGCCACGGATCACCGATCGTAAGAGAGACAACACTGATGTGAAGCGAGCTCGACTTACAATGCTTGCCCCGACCGTCGCTTCTGAGATTTGCTCTGCCCTCCCGCATCCCAACTACGCTCTCGCCCTCTCTTCCCCGCCGAGCACCCCCCCCTCCCCTCCCCCTTCTCCGCCTGGACGCTGAATTCGGGCGCATCAGCGTCGTATTCGGTGCTGTGTCTTTCGCGGCAAGCAGCCAAGCCGTCGGTATAACCACCGCCATCTGTACAGCTGCCGCTGCTGCCCCCCCCGTTGCCAGCGCCGGTGGTCCTCGGGATGAGGGCAACGTGGAACGCGCTAGCCTCGCCGCCCTCGTCAAACACGAGCGATACCGTCAGAAGGGTCGGCCTGTTGCCAATGCCCGCGTTCGCCAGGAACGGCTGCGCACCAATCTGCGGGGATGTGACCGGGCTCTGGGAAGGGCCCGAGGCTGCTGCTGCCAACAGCATACCGCTCATCGCGTCTTGCAGTGCCTGGAGTTGTTCAAAAAATGTGAGGGAAACGAGAAAGGCAAACACGCGGGTGCGTGTATAATTTCTCAGGCTCAGGGCCACGAGTACATCCACAACAACGCCAGTGCAGCGCAGGTTGCACTTCTCAAGTCGACGACATGATACATGGACGACACAACAACGATCGGATCAAACCAGCCACCGCAGTAACGGCGGCGCAACTCCCTCTAGCGGTCACATCACGCAAGCCAACATTCTGGACACGTCAGCGGCAAAAAAGCATGTACGGATAGAGATGTATTAACGGCAAAAAAGCATCACGTTTGGATAGAGATGGATTCGCTGTGACTAAGCAAGGAATAAAACACCAAGAGTGAACGTCGCACCTGAGCACTCTCGGGCGCTACGAGGGACCGAACGGTGAGCGTGCTGACGGTCTCCTGGTTGATCCGCCCGAAGCCTCGCATGGCGTCGTTCACGTCCACCAGCGCGCCGGCCTTGTCCGCGATGGCCATCGGCACGTTGCTCAGCCGGAAGATGTCGAAGTAGTTCACGACGCGCATCCTCGCGCCGGTGGTGCCCTCCTCGGACTCGTCGCTGCCGCCGTCCGCACTCCCGGCGTCGCCGCCACTCCCCAGGCTGCCCGTGTACCCGCTGAACGAGCTGTCCGTCGTGAAACCGCGGCTCGTTGTGTCGGTGGTGAAGTCCTGGCTCCCGGAGTCAGTGGTGCCCGCCGAGGTGGAGCCTCCGCCACTGTCGCTCGATCCCGCGTCCCCGTCGGAGCCCATGCTGCTGCTGCCACCGACCCCGCCGACCCCGCCGCTGCCGCTGTCGCCCAGGCTGTTCTCGTCGTCATCGGAGGAGGAAGACGAAGCGGAGTACAACCTCTGCTTCTTGCTGCCTCGGCTAGCGCTGCTGCTGTTGCTGAATCTGGTGTCGCCGCCGTTACCGCTGCCGCTGCCGCTGCCGCTGCAGAAGTCCTCCGCTGTGTCCATGCGATCTGTCTCTTCGGAAGGGCTAGAGCCACCGGTAGCTGGCTTGGTTGGCCTTCCTTCTCGTGCCGGCCCGAGGACCGCCGCGTTGCCCTTAGCCGCCCAGCTCTTGACGTCATTGTCTACGCTGGAGCCGCTGGCCCTTACCGTGTCGCTGTCCGCGGGTGCCTGCTGACGGTGACCCCGAGCGGCGTCGCGGAGCTTGATCTCCATCTCGTAGCACTTTATCTTGTCCCTCAGGCTCCGGAGGTAACTCTCGCAGCTTACGAGGACGTGAAGCTTCGAGGAAGACCCGTCGCTGACGTTCGCCTTGTCCAGCGTCGTCTAATGTTTTTGGGCGTGGATGGTACAGGTCGGAAAGGGGGGCGAGCGGGAAGAGCGTCGTGTTACCGCGAAGCCGGGGGCCCTTGCTGCGCAATAAATCGCCTTTCTTCACGCACAATGTAGACACAAACACCGGCAACAATTAGTAGGAAGCACCGGAAGGCGACCTCCGGGAAACTACGGGAAAGGTGTCAGGTACATTGTAGACATTTTCAAAGAAAATAAAAGCGGCAACGGCGGTGTCGGGGAGGGGAAACCTGCGTCCAGGCAGACACAGAACCCGATGGTCCCTGACAATAAATCCACCACATCCCGTTCCACTGCTGTAGGTATATCTCGAATCAACATCTCACCTTCAACTGATCGATCGCGTCGCTGATTTTCTGCGCGCGCTGCTGCTCGCGTCCGTTCTTCGCTGTCCTCGTGGACTTCTGTGCCATCGCCAGCATGCTGCTGATATTTCTGTCCGAGCCGGCTTGGCGTTGTGGCCGCTGCTGTAACACGTGTCCAGCAGCGACCGCCATCTTTGCGGCTGCTGGGGCCACCACCGCCGCCGCTGTTGCTTGCTGGTGACCGGATGCCTCTACGACTCGATCCTTGCCGTTCTCTTTCGCCTTGGCTGCCCCCAATTGAGCGGCAGCCGCATCTAGTCTCGGCATCTTCTGGAGCGCCGACGAGATCTCGGCTGCGGTTGCTCCGCCGTCGAAAAGGTTCAGACAACCGTGTTGTTCAGAGCGGCCTGCTGCTCCCCCGAATTCCATATCCTTTTCTCGTTCTCTTCAGCCTGCTGTGAGTGTGAATCTCGCACAGCAGTGTAGACTAGTAGTGTTGCAATTTCTGTAGGAACCGACGGAGAAAACAGCAGGGGATTATAAAAGGCAGCGACAAAGGACGATCGGAATGAGGAATTGGAGGAGCGACAAAGCTGCTCGACAGCTGTGTTCCCGGTTTTACGGAGCAAGAGCAGGACGAGCAGCTGTTTTTTTTTCTCAAGTTCAACAGAAGAAACAGCAGGCACACCTCGGTGCGACGCAGACCTTTTTGTTGCGAATACAGCCACGGACGTAGAGCCAGTAGCAGGAAGCAAAGCATGTTCCAGCGGCAGGCATTTCTCTACCCCAATCGAGTTGCACAAGGAGCGAGGTGTGGTGCAAAATGACGGCGGATGGATAGCAACCTTCGAACGTGGTTGTGGTCGAACGGACAGTGAAATTTTAGTGTCAGACACGCGGTTTACGGTTACCGTTGCCAAAAACACAATAGAGAGAGGCGTGTGACGACACACAGGTAGCTGGCGGATCTATCTTGCTTTCCACACGGCGGTGAGAGAGCCACAGCAGGCTGTGCGACTTGACTTGCGTACATGCTGATGGTGACAGCAACGACTTGGCCTCCGTCCGCAGCCCTGGCGACTGCTTTTGTATTTTCCACTCTTTTTCTGTGTGTCACGGACCACGTCGGCCAACGCCGAGAAAAAGCAAAGAGAGGCACAACACAACAGCAGTCTCCAACAAGCTCGTTTACACCTCACTCACCGACACGCTCCCGACAAGTGGTGATTCAGCCTGTCGTATCCGATGCGCCCCCGTGGTGTCCGGTTGTAACTGCTCTGGTTCGCTATGTGAAGGTGAAAGAGTTGGACGTCAGCTGCCCCGCCTCACACCTTCTGCCTTTTGCCACTCCTCGCTCTCTCTCTCTCGTATCTACCCAAGCCTGCGCTATCACGCCCGGCTGACGCAAACGACAAGCGTAGACGCAGAAGGCTACCGCACGTGCTCTCTCTTATTCTCGTGCGTGGATCGTGCCTGAGATGGCAGGTCCTGGGTGTGCGTGGCGGTGACAACAGTGGCGGCCCCTCGCGGTGACCCCGTCTCCGAGACTGCAAACTACAAGCTGTTTTGATAGCACGTCATCGGGCTGTTCGATGACACCACGAACTATTTATTGCGACGGGCCCAAAAAGGAAGGCGGAGATTGTTGAAGGGAACCTTGTCATCAGGCTGTTCGAAGCCAGGCAGGCTGGTGGTTCGTTTTGGTTCAGTTGGCCGTTTGGTATCCTTCCGAGTCTGACGTCGGACCTTTTTTACTTTTTAGGCCACTTGTTACGCTGTCTCTTTTTGGGCTGTCCCTTTTCTCGAAAAGGGACGACTGACCAAAAACCACTTGTTACGTGGTCTTTTTTTGCGTTTTTGAACCTCCCGAAAAGGTCACCCCATCCTGTCCCTTTTTGGGCAACTTTGTCCCTTTTTGAGAAAAGGGACAGCCCAAACAGAGACAGCGTAACAAGTGGCCTTTTACCCTTTACTCCGTGTCTAGAGAAATCAGAGAGACGAACACTTCGGGGAGAAAAATTCACCATCTGTTCGACGAGGGAAGGACGGCTGCCTACATTGTAATCCTACTCGCTGCTCGTGCTCTTCGTTCTATTATGCATATCACACCCCAGCCCCACACATGAGAGATGGCCACCACGTGCCTTGTTGAGCCCATTGCTTTCGGAAAAGTTGTACAAGGAGCAAAGGTACACAGCAGTAGGCCGTATGGACCACTATGCTCTTATGTATTCATACGGCTGCTTTCCTGGGCTTTCCTCGTGTCTAGACGATGGATTAGCGATGACAAATGAGTGCATTTTGCATCAATCCTGGTGGCTTCTGCTGCTGCTGTAGATAAAGCAAACAGAGTTTCTGTGTGCCCGTTTCATCCAATCTTGGCATGCACATATGTTACGCCGAAAAGGGCAGTCTGACGTCCAGCACAGCATATAAAAAAAGGCAAGGCCACATGACAAACAAGCACAGCAGTCATCATGTATTCTAGGTCCTCAATAGACTAATAATAGTAGTGCAGCAGGTTGATACTACTACACAACCAAGAGAACAATCCCACAGATACAAGGGGATTAAGCCGGCGACCTATCGGTCGCCGGCTGCACCGCAAAGTCGACAAAAGACGATACGGCCAAAAATGGACGTTGCTCATCGGCATCTCGACAGGGGGTGGCAGTGTCGGGGGTCTGGGGGAACATGGGCTTGAGTGGGGGGTGCCTCAGAAAGAGCAAGACGGCGGATGTTTCTCTCTTGGTGTGACCGGTGGCAATATCGATCAGCAATGCCGCACAGACTTTTGCGCGCCGAAATGTGCGTGCGACAGCTTTAACCTAATCACTTTGGTGGAAAGCGGATTTCTGTTCGATACGGTGTCGGGAGTGCTTAGGGGGGAGGGCTTGGCCCTTGTGGTTGAAGGTGGCAAGGAAGTAGGAACAGGGGGTGGCAGTGTCGGGGGTCTGGGGGAACATGGGCTTGAGTGGGGGTTGCCTCAGAAAGAGCAAGACGGCGGATGTTTCTCTCTTGGTGTGACCGGTGGCAATATCGATCAGCAATGCCGCACAGACTTTTGCGCGCCGAAATATGCGTACGACAGCTTTAACCTAACCACTTCGGTGGAAAGCGGATTTCTGTTCAATACGGTGTCAGGGGTGGTACCAGGGAAGACGGGGCCGAGTTTTGTTTGATTTCGGGTGGATGAGGTTGAGGTTTTGTTCGTTTTTCTCCATCTAAGGTTCGTGCCTAGAGTTGAGATGTAGTGTTTCGACCAAAGTTTTGTTGACTTAGAGGCAAACATTCCTAGCTATTGGGCATCGAGTTAATTTGGCTTGGCATGACGGCCTTTACGATCGACTTTTTATGTATGTCTGCATTTATCTGCAATTGTCGGAGGGCAAACAAAAAAGTCTAATAATAATACCAATTGGGTGTGGCTCTCTGATAAAAAAATAGGTACAGGGTCACCGAAGGTACCACACTTAAAACATTTCATGCTGCCAAAAAATGAATTTACCCGGGGTGTTATCTTGTGTAGGCAGTGGTTCTGGCCGGTCTCGTACAGGAATCGCGTGACACGAATCGAATCTTCAAGTTGTCCCTTTCTCTGTTGGACACTACCCGTGAGCCTGGCCAATAAAATACTGAGGGCCCCCACTGCTGTAGTAGTATTCGACGTTCGGTAAATGGTCAGACACGAAAAACTGATCTCCCTCAGACTCTGATTGTGCGCGCACCGCTATCAGCACTACGTACTTCATATGAAGGGGAATTGAAAAAATGTACACCCCGCGTGTTAAGGCACAAAATGGGGTATGCTGCGTCTCCTGCACCACCGCAGCTAGCTTAGGTTTCGCTACGCTTGTGACAGCATGTGTGCATACAAAATTGGGCCAGCGCCCCTGAACGTCCACTGAGTACAACGAGTAAAACAAACCCAGGGCTTGGAGTATACAGCAGGAGTACCGTCTCCGACAGGTATCGCTGGACCTTGACACCTTTACTACGACATGCGCATCTTCGCGGAGCATCAATCAATCAATGCCGATGCCACCACTATAGTTGTTGCTGGAGACAAGCGCTGAGCGTTAGCCGAGGTAGGCGTGCTGCAGCTACCTGGTGCTCTAGAGAAGGCACAAGGCCCATACATCCGAGCATGCATGTAAATTGATGTTAACATCACATCGTATCGAATTGGCGAAATTGGAACGATCGCGCCGAAATAGAAGTCCGACCTAACTCTACTAACCCTTCGACACGATGGACGAAACTTCTCTGCTACAAACTCTCTCATGCCCCCACCAAAAGATGGAGACCGTCGGCATCCTGACAAGAGAAAGCGCATACCGATCAAAGAGAGACTCAAGAGGCACGACCAGGTCAAGGGTTTAGTAGGACACCACGTACGAGGACAGAGTCCCGCGGCGCGAGTCTTTCCTCAACGAAGCACAAGGTTGACTCAAATAACACGGATAGTCTAAGGACAATTCGCGGCCATTACCCCCTACTTCAACACGTATGTCTAAAGGGCTGCACTTGCGACGATCGAGTGCCGGCACATGTGCTTGAAGCCGCAGAAAGTGCACGCCTGGAAAGACGGGGTGGCATCGAACCGCTCCGCGCGAACCGCCGTCGCCGTGGCGGAAATCGTCTCCAAGGCAATCTCCGCGTCGGCCGCAAGCGGCACCGCTACCCCCCTACGCCCGTCCTCTATCGACTCTATCGCTATCTCGGTCGGTGGAGTTTCAAACAGCCGCTCGGCCGCGAGCGCGTAGATCCGGAGCTGAAGGTTGTTCCGGACCATTCGACTTGGGACTTTCGCGCCGACGTTCGATTTGTAATCCGTTATGGAGAGCAACCCAGGGTGCGAAGATCCCCCGCCGACAGCCGCCTCGATGTCCACCCTGTCGAATATTCCTGAGAGCACGACGCTCGCCTCCGGAATCTTCACCATAAACTTGCGTTCCACGAGGAGCTGACGCTGTTGCGAGTTGTGACCAGAGCCCGCACCGGCGGCGCAGCCTCTGCCCTCGATGAGCCTAGACATGAACGATTCCAAGCCGGCCACGCCAGCCGCCCTCAGCGTGCGCAGCTGGTCCGCCGACTCGAACGCGCATCCCCCCAGGTGTCGGTTGAAGTCTTGCACGACGGCTTCCAGGGTCGGGGGCGGGCCAGCCCCCCGGCTCCCGCTCGCCACGCCACGCAGCAACGCGGCAACCCCTTCGTGCATCGCTCGGCCGTACACCATTCGCGGGTTCGGCGGAGGGGACACGTTGAGCACGTGCTGGAGGAAGTAGCTGTGCGGGCACGCCGCGAACGACGAAATGGAAGAGAACGACAGCCGGAGCGCCGCCGCCGCCGGCGACGGCGACGCGGACTCGAGCCTCCCGGCAGCCGTGGCATACCCCCCCTCAACGACATTCGGCGCTGCGTCTCTACTGCCCCCGGGCGCAGCAGCACCCTCGTCCGCCAGAAAGTGTAAGCGGTCCTCTTGATCCTTCGGCGCCTCGATCGCCGTTTTCCACTCCCGCGGGGCGTCATCCCCTAGTATCTCGGCAAGAAACGGACTAGGACTTAGGTGCGTCTTCCCGCGAGTGGCCCGGGCTGAAACACTGAGGCAAACCTCCCGCCCGGCGGAGCCCAGAGCGGCATACAGCGTCGCTCTGCCCCGGTTCTCATGGCCGGCGCGTGCAAGATCAGCCTCTGCTCGTAGGCTCTCAGTGTCCCGCGGCTCCGGATAGCCGCGGAACGGTCCCGGCACCGTCAAGCGCGCCGTTCGAAGGTTACCGGGGAGGCGAGCTCTGCTGCAGAACGGGATGAACACGGTGTGGAATGAGCGGTTTTCGCCGGCTTTCCAGTCCTCGCCAGGTCGAAAGACGCGGACAGCGCCGCTGTATTCAGCAGAGGAGCCCCCGAATTCCCCGCCCGTCGCTGCCTCGTCGTCGTGGGGCCCAGAGGGTTTCATGTACCCAGTGCCATGGCGCCGGAACAAGCGGAGGATCGGTTCGACGAGGGTGACCCTGTCACCCCCAGCCTGTTGGTACACGTACCAAAGGGTGGCGGCAATCGAGCAGCTTTCACTGGTTACAGTGGGGTTGGAAAGCAAGAAATACGTGCAACTATTCGCTTGGCACCTGCTGAGGAATTGTGGTATACACCCGTGCCGCCCACGTGCTGTCAATGCAAAAATTCTGAAAGGACATAAAAAAGAAAGGTTTCATCAGTGTGTATCTTTCAACGGTGTGGTCAGTGTGTGTGAAATACTTGAACGGTACTGCTGTTGCGTTTCGTCTGGTAGTACCACGCTTACACTTGACAAGAAATATGAAACAAACAAACAAAAGAGCCAGAAAGGAACGCACTAATAGCCCACTCTACCCAACTACAACTAACTTCACCTGTTGCTCTGCCCTCGCAGTGAGCTCGAAGAACTCCACCACTGCTCGCCCCTCCTGCTCTTCCTCCTTCGTGGTGGGCTCCTCGAGCCGCTCCAGTTGCCCCGAGTACCTCAAAAATTCGAGCATGACTTCCCTCACCCCTGTCCTTTTCGCCGTTTCCGCAAATCGATCCACGTCGGACAGGAGCTTCCCAGCGACGGTCCTCGCGCTGGTCGAGACCCCGTGCCCCTCCTCTCGTGGGTACGAGTCCCCTCCCTCGCCCAAGTAGCTATCTCGAAGGAACGACCGCAAGGGTACGTACCGCGATAGGTGCCCTTCCAAGGCTGCCGTCAGCTCGCCGCCGGGCAACGCGTACGCGGGGCAAGACATGAGCAGGTGTAGCAGCGGGGTCGATTCTGAGGGGTGCACCAGGCACCGGAGAAAAGACATGAGCATCCGCGGCGTCTCGTTGTCGAACACCGCCGAGAAGCGCGGGGGGGCCTCAACCGGCACCCCTGCTGCACTGAGCGCCGCAACCAAGGTGTCCGCAACCCCCCCCCCTCCGACGGCTGCCACCCCAATATCACCCGGGTACACCCCGGCTTTGATCACCTCTCGGACTCTCCTCCCCAAAGCTTTCACCTCGTCTCCCTCCGTTTGAAATGTGAGGCAGGTCAGCCGACTGTCTCTGCTTGCTGCTCCTGGTGTCGTTGCAAGCGCGGGCCTCTCGTCCGTTGCTGCTGCTGCTGCTGCTGCTGCTGCTGATGTACTTCTTTCAACAGTGGTAGTATCTTCAAGAAAATCAGCAACGCCCGGTGCGTCCGCCTTCGCCGCCTTTGCTGTGTTCTTCCTCTTTGCCACCACCGGAGCATCGCGAGGCTCTAGCGCCTTCATGGCCACCTGGATGGTAGAACTACTCTGGTGGTTGCCCGCTAGGTAGAGTTCCTGGGCGCCCGGAAAGGCCTTCTTGAACCGAGCGATGGCTGTGTGCTCGGCGCCAAAGACTCCAACGCTAGACATGGCCGCCAAATGCGGGTCCGCCGTCGCCGTAATCCTGGCCCCCGGAGCAACAAGACTCGCCAGGATATCGATCATCGCGGGCGAGTACCACTGTAAGTCGTCCACGTAAACGTGCGACAAGCGCAGCGACAGCGCGGCCTTGGCCGTGGCGCTTTCTCTCAGGATCCGCCGCGCCAATAGCAGCTGGTCGGAGTAGTCCGCGACCCCTTCCCGCCTCTTGAGGTCCACGAAGGCCTCGTAGGCGTCGGCCTTGTCTCGCTCCCCGGCAACGTGCGCACGCCAGCCTTCGGCTTCGAGTTGCGCCCGCTGCCTCGCCCGCCTAGCCGGTGTACCGCTCCCGGCGTCGTCGTCGACCGCAACGCCTCCTTGTTGTTCCCCACCACCGGCGATCTCCGTTTCCAGGGCCTCCACATATCGGAGATAGTCTTCGGGCGAGACCCCGCAGTGCGCAAGGCTGGAGAAGAGGCTGATCAGGGGCCTGACGGCGTCCCCCGGGTCGTGCAGCGGGCGGTACTTGCCGAGAGGGAGGGCGTCGAGGTTGCGGTGCAGGAAGACGGAGAGGCTGTTGCGGTTGAGCACCGGGGCGTCGGCGGAGGTGTAGTAGCTCCCGACCGTTGGGCCGAACTCATGGACGATCCTCCGGACCAGAGACGGGAAGGTCACAACGTCGCATTTTGTGCACCCCAGCGGCTGTTCGAGGTCGATCCTCTGTTGGAGGCGGGCGCAGTCAGCTTGCGGGCTCACTGCGAGGAGGGAGCCGGCGGAGCCTGCTGCTGTTGCGCTGACTTGTTCTTGCTGCTGCGGCGGCGGCGACGATGATGCTGTTTCGCTCGCCGCTTGCAACAGCTTATTGGTCAAGGACCAAGTCTTACCGGAGCCTAGCAGTCCAGTGATGAGAGTCGCCTGGCCCGTCGATCGCGGTGCTGCCGAGATCATGAATCAAGGGCATGCATTTCCACTACAAGAGCTCTGAGTGTTGTGTTTGACTTTTGAACTGGGGTACCCGCGAATGATTTTTCGGAGACGTACGGTACCATGAGCATCTGTCGGTGCCCCACCCAAGGTGTGTGTCCGTGGGTTCCCCTGTCGATGTCAATGCACTCTCTTTTACCCGGTATCCCTCTCCCTCTCTCTGCGGGTTCTCTGCGGGTTCAAGCAGTCGAGCTCGAAGTAGCATGGATGTCGACACATCATGGAGGCGAAAGAGGCCTGCAGAAGTGAGTGGGGGGGGCGCTAAAAGTTGGGCCGTTGTGGAAGCAAAACCTGCTGTCGGCTAGCCCACTTGAACCAAGGCCTTCATCAAGCCGCTTCTCGAAATCGTTGGTTACATTGTTGTCTAACTGTCGTCGACTGGAAGGATGCCAGGTGTGCCGTGGTAGGGTAGATAGCTACCAGGTCGCACGCCTACACTGCTGTAAAGTGTCGACTCTTTGGGCATTCTGATTGCAAGCTGTTGTGATGAACGTGTGTGCACCTATCCGAAGGCGTTTGTTGCATGCCTGCTGCGTCCTGTTGACCCTGTTGGAACACAAACACATGCCTTACTTACCACATCATCCTGCTACCCTCGTTCGTCCATGTGTGCCCAAACGCATCTCAAGGAGGAAGAAGACTACCTGGCCTCGAAGCGGTACATCTCAGAGAAGTTCTTCAACATGCGAATTTCCCACCCCGACGCGCCGGGGCTGAAAGAAGCCGGCTTAATGTGGCAGGGAGCAGCGGACAAACCCGCTGGAGTAGGCAGTGGCGACTTAGGTGAGGACGCACGCGTTCTCCGTGATGATACGCATAAAATCCGACGGCAGACGCCGCAGAAACAAGTTGGCTTCTTGTCATCCTGATTTCCACAGCCGATCACCTGAAATTCACCATCTGCGTGCATGCTTCCCCGTTCGTGCACGGCTTCTGCCCGGCATTTAGAACATCGTGCTGCCGCTCCTTGTTCGTTTGGGGGTGTTGCACACGATGCGGCGGTTTTTGCGCATGACAGCGAAGAGACGCGCGACTCACTTCAGCGTTTCTCTGTTGCGGAGGCTTTTATTTTAGTTGTTCAGCAGCGGGCAGCACGAGACAGATAGTACTCCCGCGCAAGGCAGAATGAAACACCCAAGGGCAAGCTTCCTACAGCCAGCGACGATGCCTGTCGGAAAACATGTCGTTAGCGGCGAGTTCGGTGCGTTGTATCGTTTGTTGCTCCACCGAAGGCGTGCTCTTGGAGTAGAAGCCGTCTCGTGTGGGCTCGTCAGAGGCAGGCATGCAATAGCCGAGAGGAAAACGAAGTTATGGGGCGTGTTTGGGGCTTGTTTGGGGTATTTTTTTTCCGCCTCCTGCCACCAAAGATGTATGGATACCAGCGTGTGCCGTCTGCACGCCGTGCAGCAAGTGTGCGACGATCCACGCATAGGCACGGCGCCAGCGGGACATTTGGTCGGGGATTGTGCACCTTTTGCAATTCCGTTTCACCACCTGGCAGGATATTCAGCTCAACCTCTTGCATTCACAACATGTGCACACGAGCATGGAAGCATTCTGAGTATGTAGCGCCCACGTTTAAGCAACAGGTCCATTCATGATTTTGAGTGCTGCGCCCCGTCCGCTCTTGGGCACTTGCAATACGCTGAGGTATCGGGCCGACCCATGAATAAAAAAAAACCAACTGTTGGAAAATTCTGATTTCAACCCGACCGACCAGGCAACTCACCCCCCTTGTCACCAACTCGCTCCGTAACCGACAACAACAGCGGCGGGAGTCGACTGCAGCAGTATGTCTGACGAGGAGGACATTTCAACGGCCACGGTCCGGCGCCCACCCGCAGCCGCCCCGAACGTGTTCACCCAAAGCGCCGCCTTCGGCGACCTCGCCTCCCTCGACGAAGACGACGATGCAAGCGGAAGCGATGACGGTGCCGGCAACACCTCCTCGGCGGGAGGCGGTCCGCCCACCCCACACCCTTTCCTGCGGTCGACATCGTCGGCCATCGACGAGAAGGTCGACGACTGGGTGCGCACCTCGCGGCACCGGATGCTGGCCGACGCCTCCGTCAACTCCGCCCCGGACCTCTGCCGTGCGCTGATCCCCTACCAGCCGTTGGCCGGCTTGATGCCGTTGGCGGCGCCCGCCGCGGATTCTACCGGCGACGAGGAAGGCCGGGCGTCCGACTACGACAGCGGGGAGGCCGGTGGGGATCCTACGCCCTCACCTCAAGCAGGTGGCAACGGCGGGGGCGACAACGCGCCGACCGCCGCCGCCACCGCGGGCGCGGGACTGGGAGCGGTCATGCTCAGGGGGGAACGCGGTTGCGAGCAAAGCGCGGGGAGTAGCACCGCCGAGGCGGCGGGTTTTGCCGGTGCAGGCGGTAGGGCCGGCGGCCATCTCCACGGGTACGCCAACGCCAACGGCGTTGGAGGCGGCTCCGACCAGGGCAAGGGCCGAAACCACCACCCCCCCCACCACCACGAGGTCGCTGGCAGCCTCCTCGGGCCGCCGCCTCGAGGCCTCTGCACCGCGCAGTCCGGCGGCGACGACGCCGGTGGTGCTCTGATGATGTGTGACGACAGCGGGACGGCCTCGATGCGTGAGGACAGTGAAGCGGCCATGCGATTACAGGACGGCGATGCGGGGGAGTGGGAGGATGGAGCTCTTCCGGCGGCGGCGGCGGCGAGCGCGGACGCGATGGACATGGACGGGACGGACATGGCGCCCCCTGACCCCATTCCGTTGTCAAGGATCGGATCCAGCCGAGGGGCGCCGACACCGGAGCTGACGCCGGAGAGGGCGGCGTGGGCGCGGGTGAGTGGGTTTGACGACGGCGAACGACTTGACTTTTTGTGGCCGTTTTTCTGGCAGAAGACACCTGGTAGCTTAGGTGTCCTCGCTCGACTTTTCCGCAGTATGGGTGAGGTATGGTGTCGTACCAGGAGTACCTTTTCCTGCACGGTACCCGTCCGTCCGTGCTTACGTGTGCTTTGCCTTGCAATAGAGAGTGTAGCAGAGGACGATAATGAAGTCGAGGTTGGCGCAAAGGGGCTCGAAGAATCGGCCAGCTTGGTCTTACTACTACGAGTAACGACTACAGTCTGTTGTACCGGATATCCTGTACACGATAGTGATTTATTTACGCAACAACGTCGGTGGTCTACATACATATGTGCGGGCCGAAACGTTGTGCCTTTGTCCGCACATCTGCGCGACGCGTGCTCAGTTATTTCTTGGTCTACGAAGGATGTTTTATGGTCTAAATACAAAGGTCGTACATTTTGAACGCAAGACAACACCCCCCCCACCGCCGCCATCCGTCGTCTCGTTGCCGGCTTTCCTGCCACGCCTGCCAGGCGGCCCCTCAGCGGAAACGCGAAGCCCGGAGTGAGGAGGACCCTGACGAGATCTTCGGCGCCACAAACGCAACACCACCGCTCACTGCACAGTCCTGGGCACAACAATGGTGACGACAAGCCGGAGGTTCGTTTTTTGGAGGGGGTGTCAGCTTGATGGCGGGAAGAAGCGGCTGGTCGGCGGGCTTTGTGGCAAGAAGAACCTGCGGAATTCTTGCGGGACGTAGGAAGAATCATCTGGATTGCCGGGTACTCCTCTGGATTGCGGAGCGACTGGGCATTCCTTCACGGGCATTGCACCGGATTCTTCTTGCTTCCGTTTTCTTGGCGGACTGGCGGTACCGGCGGTGCCATCCACCCGCTGTTTCTTCGGTGCAACCTCGTGGCCAAACCGGCGTTTTTAGTGATTTTTGTTGATTGTATTCACCCGGCGTTTTTTTGCTCCTTCACTTTTTTCAGTGGTGTTCGTTGTTCGTGAAGGAGGAAATGACGCCCAAGGTCGCCTTGTTTTGCAAGCTTCCCCCTGTTCGGTAAATTGATCCGACGTTTGTTTTAGTGCTGTGTCGTTTTGGTTTGGGGCTTGGTAGGCAAGCTTGTCTTTGAAATCTTTCGTGGCGCAGTTGCAAATGGGTCGCGTCTGAGTCGTTGTCGTCGGCAAGGCCGCGTCTGCGAACGTGTTTTCCGCCTGTCGATGCGCTTCTGCTCTCGTGTTTTGCCGGAGACGCTCGCTCCTTCTCCACCGGTCGTGATCATGATTTTCCCGGCAGGAGATGACCTACTTTAGTACGCGCCCATCTTGGTATCTAGTGAAGGAGTTTGCTATTGAGCGCGGCCAGCAGCTCCACTGTTTGCTCTACCCTCATTGGCGGTCGATCGATGGTTTGTGTCATGTGGTGGGAGGTATGCATCCAATCGAAGGGTTAGGTTTCCTGCCATGTGTTGGTGTTGTGCCGGTGGCGTTGATTCGTCTTTGGGTACTTTTTCGCACTTGCGTCCATGTAGTTAGTACGCTGGGGGCCGGGATGCCGCCAGGCAAGAGCGTGTTCATTTTTTTCTGATGTCCCACCTGATGATTGTGTTGTGCTCTAGAACGTTTGTCGGCATTCCATGTGTGTAGTAGCATCGAGAAGGGCCAACCGATGGCTCAGGTGTTTCCGTGTTGGGCAGGACGCTCTTCTCCTTGTCGTTGCGCTACCGCATGGGTGTCAGCATACACTCCGAGTGGACTGGTCACAAAGGAATAGTCTAGGCGTGTAGAACCCGCTCGTAGATGTGCATAGGACGGGGGGGGTCTCTTATACACATCTTGTGCANACGATAGGTAGGCGACTCTAACTTGTCCAAAGTACTATATGGCAGGGAGACGGTAGCAATGTGTATACCAAAAAAGTGCATCCTTTGGAGTATAAAAGCATCCCTATCTGCGCGCGGGGGGCGGGGGGGGGGGTCGAGCTCGACAGCAGCAGTGAGTCGCAGCGACAATGTCGTCTGTCCTGTGAAGCGACCTTGTACCCCGCGTGAGAATCCACGCAATGCAAGGGATGTTCACCCGTGTTGTGGGGGCGCCGTGCGACTACAGGGAGATCCATCTCAGCTACAAGTATGTATGCACAGGACAGCCAGGAGAAGGAATGGAGTAGAGTGGTTGATCCCCGGGGTGAGTCCAGAAAAAGACGTGCACCCCGTATGTAGTTGTTTGTTGTTGTTGTTGTTTCTCACATTAGCTCTATAGTCCACAAAAAATGGGGAGCCCGTGGTCTCAAAACCCGGCACATACGACGCCGCGAGAAAACAAAAAAAACAAAAATAGGGTACAAACCACTCGGAAAAAGAAAACAAAATGATAGAAAGAAAAGAACAGGTATCGCACCGACCGTTCGAGAAAAGTGCGCTCGGACACCGATCAAAATAAAACAAAACAAAAATAAAGGCGGACGCTTCCCACACCCGCCGAAAGAAAAAATCAAAGGCTAACGTACCAGCACCAGGCACTGCGCACCAGGGCATGGGAGTAACGTAGTGTTGCACGACCGATCTCAATCCGTTGTTTTGGGCACGAGCACCGAATAGACGCACAGAAATTACCCTCGCACAAACGCGGCACGTTTATTCTACGCACAACATAACGTCGGAGACGAAGGAGGGTCCCTGGGGGGTCAAGATAAAACACACGGACGGTTGCTTCTGCTCTGTGCGTGGGGGGTCGGCGGCATGATATGGATGATGAGGGAGCCAAAGGCACTTTTATTTCGAAGAAACAGATGAAACCATCGTTCAAAGGACGCCATCTGCACTCGTATGGAGGCAACAACGAGGCAACCAGCTGCCTCGTCATTTGTACTACACCAGTTAGGGTTTGCAGCCATTGATTGTTCACACGTTCACACGTTTCACACACGCGGAGTGCAGTAGACCCAATCGCGTATAGCCCCGACGACGTGCGTTCGCACGCGCGCCCCCACTACATGACCCCTTTGTTTTCCGCCGCGTTCCTTCACGCGCATTTCTCTTCTTTTTGCGTCTACCACCGTTCATTGTGCTTCTTGTAGGAAAACTACGATAGAGGAGATGCTTCATAAGGGTCTGCCTAGAGGTAGGGCAGTGGGTACAGCACCACAGCAATGAGCATGCGAGTTTTACACACCCTGGACAATATGATATTTAATGCATATTGCTCCAATCAATACATACTAAAAATTCGAATCGATATGTATTGATGGGTTCAATACAACGGGAGAACATCTTCCACTACATATTGCTACCAAGATATATATTCGGAGAAATTCGATCAACATATATATTATATTGCTTCAAGCAATGTGTTAGTGAAAATGGTATCAATTGATATCGCATGTCTCAATGCAAACGGAAAGTATCGATCGATATGAGTGCCAGGCAATCGATCGTCCGTTAGTTTGTATTGGTTCGTCCCCCGTGGCGTTAACAGTAACCCTGCTCATCATGCGTACAATTGTTTTCGCGCGGAGGCGCGAAAAAGTTTTGGGGGCATGCTTTCTTTCGCGTTGAAAATAGTTACAACAGCGTACGATTGTATCCAACATAGTATTTGAACGATATATATTATTGATCGCTACGATCATCAACGTATTGTTGCTCCAAGATGTATCAATCAATAGAATTCGGTAAAAACATATCGTACCTTGCGATATCCATCGACGAACAACTGAAGAAAGCGTGCTGGTCGAAGCGATAGATACATACAACATGTCGAAGACTTGTTGTATAGTTTATCCTATCGCGGGAGCAACAAAAATGACGTGTTGCGTGTTTTGTTTCAATCTATCGTTGCTCACAATACATATCGATGCACCCGGAACCATCATACTGATTACTGAAATACGCATCGTCTATCGAAATTTCAACTATATTGTTAGAGCAATATTCGATTGGCCTAAGTATTGTACAGGGTGTAAGGGCCACACCCTCGGCCCACACTACATGGATGGGCCACCATTCACTACACAAGACGAATGGTCAGTCAGGGCAATCAATGGGGGAAATGGTACAGCCCCGCACATGGCCACCACTACTCTAAATGCAATATATTATGCATCCCGTAGTAAATCCTATATAATAATGTCCCTATACTAAAATCAGTACACTTTGGGGGAGCGACAGTGGGTACGTACCGGGGTCATACCCACAGATAAATCCTGCTGCGTACCAGATACATTACATTGATACAGACTATATCGATCGGGAGGAGAGCAGTACACAACAACTTGTTGTTTGTATCGATATGCATTGCAAAGAGGAACACATCATTGAAAATCTCATCGATACATATCGTGAGAACCAAATGCTTTTCCGTCGATGTATTGCATCATGTTGACCCGTGCTGCAGCACTCTCCAACATGTACGTGGAGCAATCAATACCGATTGGTCGTAGCCTGGTATGTTGAAAAAAATATGCTACCGTAATTGAGTCAGAGGTAGATTCACGAGCTGCCAATCGATGCATATTCCCAGAACGCTACCCTCGCAAGAAAACATATCAATGCGTATTACAGCCACCAGTACGTGACGTATTACGATAGGAACGTATATTGTCCACGGTGTGGTAGTAGCCATGACCATGTCCCGGGGGCTCCGCGGCTGAGGTATTGGGCGGGGGGGTCGATATCATCATGCTCATTATGCACACTTCACCACTTACTTGTGCATTGGGCGCGGTGGTTTGCCACGCACAGCAGCACCCCAACACGATGCTTGGCCTTGCACTGGCTGGGGTGTTGGCAATCATCTGCGGTAGGGCGGATGGTTTCGCTTCTCCGATCAAGATGAGCCGCAGATGGTCTAGTTCAACCTTACCGTTACAAGCAATTGAATCCTCATCGACTGCTGGCGGACAGACCGAAGACCTGCCGCAGGCGTTGATCTTTGACTGCGACGGCGTACTAGCAGATACGGAGCGTGATGGTCACCGTCCAGCTTTCAACTCCGCGTTCAAGATCAAGAACCTAGGTGTGTGTGAGCGCTTGATCTTACATGATGCATATGTAGCCTATTGACTACGTATACGCCATCTGTAGGATTCTGCGCCCGCTACAATCAACATGTGTGCTCGTCAAATCACTCGCTGTGCTCGTTCCCCGCACGCTGAACCTGCAGTTGTGCGCTTGCAGGACGAGACACAGGATATTTCTTGCCCTACGATGGTTCTGTGACCGATATTTCCTCTTCACTCTCTGGCAGGTGCACATGCACCGAAAGTCGCACTTTGTACATGTTGTACAGGCAGAGCCAGGGTTAGACTATTGGAAGTCTAAAGCAGGTGGTCCATGTACCCAATGGCAGCCCTCACGCCGTGTACTTGCTCTCCTGCCGTGTGCTTGCTTTGAGGTCGACCCGACCCTTCATTGGTCCTACTGGACCTTCGGACGCCGCTCTTCACATGCAGCTCAAAATTTTTCATGGTCGTGGTTGGTCTCCGTTTGAACCCCTCCCTCCTCCTCCGCTACACCTTGTTTTTTCATCATAACCAACCCCAGACTGCGAGTGGAGCGTTGAGCTATACGGAAAGCTGCTGTCTGTTGGCGGTGGGAAGGAGCGAATGACGGCGCACTGGGATGGTAAGTCGATAGTCGCGACACATGGACATACTGCGACACTACGCACCCTGTTCTGGTCGCTGTCCTGTTGACCATGGCGCCGGTGACCTGCTGACTACTCCTAGGCAGGGTGACCCATATCCCGTGTATTCCCGAACAACATCATCCCGGGAAAGGTGTACCCACGGTGTACTGCGTTTGGTAAAATTAGGTCCTCGGTTAAGGTGGTGGTGATGTCGCTCGCTGTGGCGGCTGCTCATCTTGTGCAGACGCAGCAAGCAGTCCATTCGCAACCTAGTTTGTCCACGGCAGTATGCATAGCTGACCCAAGTATTTCCTCGGAACCAATCTTTCAAAAAGTCACATGGTCTCAGGCAACCTGAAGAGAGAATAAGAGCGAGAGTCGGCTGCAAAGTACGTGATTCGCACGCTGTCCCAGTTCGACCACAACTGAACCTGAACATACATAGCACCAAATTTTTAGGCTTCATCCTGATTCGATTTTCTTCCACGGACGAACCCACTCTATAACACCACAATACTACAAGCACGCCCCCACCCGATTTGATTCTCTTCCGCTGACGAACCTTGACCTTCCGCCAGAGGTGGGCTGGCCTGATTGCGCCAAGACAGCCGACGAGCGATCGCTGCTTGTCAAGGAGTTGCACCTCCTCAAGACGGCGTTGTTCAACCAGGCCGTGGTGAACGGGGAGATACCTCTCAGGACGGGAGTTATCCGGTTGATCGACGAGGCCATCTACCGGAAGGTCCCCCTGGTAGGTCCCAGTGCACGCGTGTCTTTTTCTCAACCCACGTTTGGGGTGGTATCTACAGTACACAGGAGTACTACAGCAAGAGGCGGAGAGATGGCACTCCCCTAGACCCATTTTCAAAGCTCGATTGCTCCGCTACCAAGCTTGTGGCAACACCAGAAATTGTGGTTTTGGGACCATCTCGTCGAGGGCTTGCCGTCGACGTACCGGGCTCTTCCCGCACCCCCTTGGTTGTGGAGCAATCGAATCGACCTTTGAAAGTCGGTCTAGCGGGGGTGCTATCCCTCCGCCTCTTGCGGTATATCATCACGTTCCCGTAGGGTCGGACACCCTTGGAGGCGACGATAGCGTTGGTAGGAGAGCGAGCAAAAGGAGGTGGAACAGGCTGCACATCAGCAGTGGCTGAGATGGTTGAGACGGTTATTACGGCGTGTCTCTTAGGCTGCGGGGTTCGAATCTCTTCGGAATGTAAAACTTGCAAATTACCCGCAGCTCTATACTTCCTGCCCCTTTGGGGGCGACGACGAGCGAGTTACTGTTTGTCGCCATCCAATTTTCTCCAACCTTTCCCATTTCCGCCGTGGTTTGCCAAAGTGCCATTCTACGATAGTCATCAGAAACATAGTCATCTTCGATCAGTCTTGCACACAGATAGCGCCCGTACATAAGAACCTGTACTTTCGGGCGAGGCTTAGGTTCTTGGTTCCTCTTGCGGCGTACAAACGTCCTCCTTTTTCGCTCTGGTGTAGGGGTTCTTAACCGAGCTCAGGAACGATGCTCAAGTTCTTGTGCTTGATAAGTTGTTAAGCGTTAAGCTCCTAACTGCAAAGCTCTTGAGTGCGGGCGCTACATCCGTACATGATGACCTTAGGCAGTGTGCTCGACTTCGAACGACAAAGCTGTGACAAATCTGGTCAAGACCCTGATGGGGAAAGAGCGCCTGGAGCGTATACAAATATTCGCCGGCGACATCGTGGAAAAGAAGAAACCCAACCCGGATATTTACGACCTCGCCAAGGTGTGTGCAGTGATCAGCCGGGGCAACACTTTGTTTTCCATCGATACTGTTGTCAGTGTGTATAATAGTTTGGTTGCTTCATGTCGTAACGTGACGCTACATTGATTTGCCGCCGACGATATTCGTGGTGCTTGTTTACCCTTTTCCGATGCTGTTGTCAGTAGATGATGGATTTAATCTATGTCGTAAAGCGAAACTATTGATTTCGCGAAACCATTGATGTCGCCACGGATGATATTCGTGGGCGGCGCAAGATCTCCGCAGCTGACAGCAAATGCAGCGGGGATTGTCACTCGTAACGTACGCCAAAGAGGACCCTCCTTCGCGAAAATATGAGTGAATGAGGCAATAGAACAGGGAGGGGGTATGCAGACCCCATCCCTAACCCTAACCCTAACCCTAACCCTAACCCACTTTCCCCGATTAAATGCTTTATCCTACATGTTTGCTTCGTAGAAGAAACCTGCAGTGACTAACAAAAGGCAACCGTCGTCGCCGCCGCCATCCGTGATTCACTGGTTTGTTTGATGCGGGCAGGATACAATGGGGCTGGACCCTGCTCGCGTGGTGGTCATCGAGGACTCGCACATCGGACTGACTGCGGCGAAGGCTGCCGGGATGAACTGCCTGGTGAGAAATAAGGAAGTATGGAACGAACACACTCCGGCTCTCGGTAATGTCCTTCCCGTGGAACTTGCTGTCCCACATTTTGTACCGTGGAACTTGAGAAATGCGGAATAAACACCCTCTGGCTCTCGGAATCGTCAATCCCGCGGAAGTCTCTGTCCCACATGTTGCACCGTGGAACTTGCTGTCCCACAATTTGCACCGTGTAGCACTGAGTGAAAGTTGGGAGGGCTTGGCGGTGGAGTCAACGCGTTCCTTGTTTTGCCAATGATCGTTTTTCCTTCTCAAGACGACCTGGTTGTTTTACGGCTTTTTCTGACGTCGCAGAGAGGTGAAACAGAGTGTCCGTGCCCATCGTCGGTGAAGTCTGTTGGGTTTCCTCCACATGAGAAGACGACATTGTAGGGGAATTGGGGTATGTTTGTGTTGAAACAGAAAAAGCGCACCAATAAATTCCGAAGAAAAACCACGCGAGAGACCATGCACATTTGAATACTACAAGCACGACACTGTTTCCATTCTGCGTCTGGGCTACAGATTCCTTTTGAAACAAGCGTCGAATGCCTCGCGAGTTGTCCGTTTCCTTCGAATCTAGAACGGATACCCGACCTTTGGGAAGACGCATGTATGGTCTTGGTTGCCACAATTTGTTTTTATACCACGTGCCTGGTCAAGGCCCCCCGCACCTCCCGTCCTCTGCCTGATCGACTGAACGCTGACTTGTGCATTTCCATATTTATCAAAGAATGCAACCAGGCACGAGTATGAACCCTCCATAGTTTCATAGAATCCAGCCAAGCATGAGAACTCAAGCCCGCCCCAGGACGCGTGGTCGATGGTCGAACAGCAAAGACATGCAAAACATGAGTACTCCCCGCCCCCCTCTCGAGGACGCATGGTCGATGATCCAACAACTAAGACATGCGAAACATGGGTACACCCCCCCGTCCCCCTCTCGAGGACGCGTGGTCAATGATCCAACAGCTCAGGCATGTAACACATGGGTACCCCCCCTCCCCCCCCCCCNGCAAAGACATGCAAAACATGAGTACTCCCCGCCCCCCTCTCGAGGACGCATGGTCGATGATCCAACAACTAAGACATGCGAAACATGGGTACACCCCCCCGTCCCCCTCTCGAGGACGCGTGGTCAATGATCCAACAGCTCAGGCATGTAACACATGGGTACCCCCCCCCCCCCCCCCCCGGTAACGCGTACAAACAAGGTGACGAAGAGCAGTTACACCGGGGATGAAGACTTTTCTGCGGCAGACCAAGTGACGGAGGAGCTGGGAGAGGACGGTGAAGCCAGCTCCTCTGTAACGCTAGCTACTCTGGGAGCAATCGTTAGGAAACGCGCGAGCGCAGCCTCCTCGTGAGATCGGAGCAAGCAACAACCTTGGCTCTCCGAAAGGCGCACTTTTCTTTGAGCAAACGTTGTTGTTTCTTCAGAAACGTGTAGAATCCGTTGTTCGTAGCATAGACTTGTGTGTGCTGCCGGCTGTTTTTCTGCGCGAAAGATATCCCACGAGTCCACGTCGCTGGTCTCACCTTTACTCAAGGCTTCGGGGTTTCTATATTGTGTCCCTTTCGCACACCTCTGTCGGGGTGTCCTTTTCACACACACGCATCTCGGCGCGTCCCCAGAAAAGGTCGCGGTTTACCCGAACAGCAGTCCTTGGTGTTGGAAAGAGGTGGCATTGGTAGGTTGGGTGTGCCGCGCTACAGATCTCTTCTCGGGGTGTTGCCAGGCCGCAGCATACGTTTGCGGACACAAAGATGCAGCATTTGTGCGGATCTTGTTGTTCGCCTCTTGGCTTGTTGAAAATTCTCGCGGCAATCTGCGGGCCCGACGAGAGCGATAATAGAGTCTCCGCGACAAAAATTCCTACAGACCATGCGGCAGAACTAGTGGGTAAGAAGTGGTCTACGAAGGAGAGGAGCACCACGCAGTAGTGGTGCAACAATTAATCCAGAGAGTGTCGACCAGTAGCATATGCTACTCAGCAACACTGTTCCCGCTTACCCCCATAAGCTGAGAACGGCGACGGCATTGCCAGCGTAACATTGTGTGTACAGCTGTACCGCGTAGTATCGCGAAATAGACGGGACGAGAAAAGAAGAGGCGCTCGCGTGTAGGAGAACCGGCGAAAAGTATTTTGGCGCACAGAAGCTTGTGGCTTGGTCGTTTCGCAGAAACTAATTAACAGGTCTAGACTAATCGTCAAGAAAAAAAAAGAGCTTCACGATTTGATTGTTGCCTTACGCGCAATGTGGATCGCCGCCTGCCCGACGACCTCTCTCCCATCTTCCAAACAAAACTGCTGTGACGAGGCGAAAGCTTTGGTGATGTCCGTGCGCTGCAGTTCATGAGGAAGCCTGAAGTACGTCGTCACCAACAATGACAACTTTCTTGTGTTTTGTTAGCGTTCACGTTTTTGCCGTTTCCCACGCGGCAGGAGCATGTTTCGTAGCCCGCATCACTGCATAAAAATGTTGCCGCGGGTCTACCCAAAACATCGTCGCTTCAGATGTTCACAGAGATGCCTAAGGTCTGCGGTGTCACCCGTAGTGTGGATATTCGCGCGTATCACACATCAAGTGCTCCTCCGATAAAACAAAGAGCAAAGCGCTGGTGACTGTACTCAGAGCGACACCAACAAAAAGAACACAGCAGCTGCAGTTCTTGAACGCGTGTGGGTGAGCCGCCGTCGTAAATGTGTTTCGTCAAACGTGCCTTACTCAGCCTTAGTCGAATTGCAGTCGTCCGTTTTGGACATAGTCGATTAGACTCGTGAGGCAAATTGCTGCAGCAGGTACACTCCTTTGCGCCAGAGCCCGCCTACGCGATCCCGGTGCTTCTGCGCAGCGACACCAACAAAAAAGAACACAGCAGCTGCAGTTCTTGAATGCGTGTGGGTGAGCCGCCGTCATAAATGCGTTTCGTAAAACGTGCCTTACTCAGCCTTAGTCGGATTGCAGTCGTCCGTTTTGGACATAGTCGATTAGACTCGTGAGGCAAATTGCTGCAGCAGGTACACTCCTTTGCGCCAGAGCCCGCCTACGCGATCCCGGTGCTTCTGCGCAATCTTTGCTTCGGTGCCATTCAAGCTGCCGGTGGATCAAAGAGCAAGGCACCGGCACAAAAATCCCGACCCCTTCAACACGTGCTTCCGCCTTGACGGGCCCACGACTTTGCAAACCACCAGACAGACCATCCACTGGTGGCGGGCGATAACGCTCATCTTGGCGTTGCTCTGGCGTTACACAACTGATCCGTGCCGTCGAAGCCATGCCGACATGACGTACTAGTGCTGCTGTACGGAAAACACGACCGATTAAGATGATGACATCACACCATGCCTGCCCGTCGAGGGATACACCCGCATGACCACAGCGAGGGCAGGACATTTCGGTGTGTTCTGCGTAGACGATACCCCCGCAAGAAGAGCAGATGCACATCACAACATGACAAAACAACAAAGCCGTACCGAAGCGACACGCATGCTCCTCGGGAAGCATCCCACGCCACTATCATCCCAAGTACTTGAATACTTGGTAGAAAACCGCAAGCCTTCTGAAATACGCTTCAACGATGTTCTCCGAAGCATGGCATACCGATACGACCAATGGGACTTCGGTTTCGCGATAAGGGATGTTTGTTTTGTCGCTGTCACGCCGAGAGACCCCAAAGACTATTGTACTATGGATAATTATACTAGACCATTTTGCGCGGCCAGCGTTCACTGCAAATAATCCACTTACACGAACAGCAGAGAACCATCCGCCGAAACGAGTTTACAGGAATCTTCGATCGGCGAATCCAATCTTCGTCCAACCGACTCTCCTTTTTTATTGTAAATAGGAAAAAAAAAACTTTTCTTGATGGTGCATGCATGCGCTTTGTTTCGATTTCCGTGTCATCGGTATTCGATTAACTGAGGCGCGGCCTTCCACCCTCACCTCACGTCACCTCTCCAATTTCCCCCCTTTCTAGCCACTTCCTCCACAGGAGGCGCCAACCATTCCCTCTCCCCAAAGACCGACATGATCACCTCGGCCTAGCCCAGAGCAGCTTAAACGCCACAGACGGAGAGCGCCAAACGATCCGGCACCTCCGTTCAGCATCACATTCTCCCCGCATGGCTTTCCGCCAGAAGCCGGCTCCGGCATGGAGGTTCTCCAAACGATCAGGCGCCTCCGTTTAGCATCACATTCTCCCTGTATAGCCTTCCGCCAAAAGCCGCCTCCGGCATGGAGGTTATCCTTGACCCCCCCCTTCCTTCTCTCCCTCACCCTGTCGCCTACCCTCTCCCCTCTCTATCCTCCTCCTCCTCCAAGCAACAAATTAGAACCAAGCCAACCCGTCCAATCCCGGGGCCGCTCCACCAGCGTCCCCGGCGCCGCCCAATCCAAATCACCCCGCCGCGGGGAAACCCAAAGGCATTGTTTTACCCTCCTTCAGTTACCGCGGAGGCGGCGGGGGCATCGTTGGCGGGGGTGGCGGGGGCGGCACATCCCCTTCCTCTTCGTCATCAGCAGGCGGCGGCGGCGGCGGCGGCGGCGGAGGGTTCCCCGGGGGCAACGGTGGCAGCGACTGCATCTGCGCGCCCCCCCCGCCGCCGCCCCTGCCGGGCACCTGTGGGCCGATGTTGGAGATGGGGCCGGTTCGTTGGGCCGATCTCGGGGTGTTTATTTGCTTCTGGAGGGCGGCCTGTCGGGCCGCGGTGGCCGTGGCGATGTTGCCGTCCCAGAGCACGCGTGTCACCTCCTCCTTCCGTTTCTTGCGCGCGTTTGATTCGTTGAGCAGCTGCTGCTCTTCGTCCTGAGTGAAGCATCGGGGCCGGCGGTGCGGGTGGACAAAAGGGTGTAAGCACGTTGAAATTAGAAACACAGAACGAGCACTTCTGAGGTAGATGTTTAGTGATCAGCAGGCTAAAGGAAAATAGAGCTGTGTTCGTTGCCCCTAGGGCATCCACGACTAGCCTTACCGTGCTGCACAGCCCACCAAACAGCCTACCAACTGCTACAGACGAGACCGCGTTTCCGAACCGAAACAAACCGAATGTATTCAACGTACGTGCACAGCGTTCTTCGGATCATGTGAACATTGGACCGCGAAACATTCTAAAGATGGTACTTGTTTACAACGAAACCACCGTGCCGTTTGTAGATGCTCCTTTACTTGAAAACATACATCCGCGTCAGCAACACAAGCAACGTTGCTCAATCCCGTGGGTCCCCCGCTCCCCTTTCAAGCTCAAGCCAACAGGAGCACGAGAGCAGACAACAACAGTCGCGGCAGCCCCTCCTAACTCTAATCCCAACAAGAACGAGAAAGCAAACAACAGCGGCAGGAGCAGGACCCCCCCTAGCCCTAACCCCAACAAGCATGAGAGAGCAAACAGCAGCAGCAGCAGCCCCCGAAGACTCACCTCCGCCGACCCGAAGATATCCCCGCGCTTCCTCGCCAGCGACTTGAGCGACGCCGCGATAGACTCTCCCTCCGCGAGAGCGGTGTCCTTCTGCTTCGCCGCCGCTCTGGCCTGCTCCTCCCTCCACTTCGGGTCCATGAGCTGGATCCGCATGTGATCCGACAGCTCTGACGCGGCCACCGTCGCCCCCGTGATGGGGTCGATGACCATGGTTGGTAAGGCCGTGGCGGAGCCGGTGGCGACTCCCGGCTTGTAGTCGGTCACCACGTGGATGTCATCATCCTGTGATGCACGATGTATCATGAATGGAAAGAGAGGTTATTTTAAGAAAATATGCATAAAAATATTGACAGAAAAACTACCTGTTCGAGGTATAACCACAGTCGACATATGTTGATGAAAGAGGAACGGCCAAGGGGGTCACATACAGTTCATGCAGGACTGAAGGCTGCCGCCGACATCGTGCCTCCCTCCCCCCTCGCCCGAGCCTGTCTCTCCTTCCGTCGCAATCGGTGTAGAGAGAGAGAGAGAGAGAGAGAGAGAGAGAGCTCACGATGTTGTACGTAAAATCATAAAGGGCAAAGACTTGGCTTTGCCGTCCCAACCAAACAATCCCTCGACGTACGAATTACAAATGTTCGCCTTGCCCGGAGCTCACCTCCACCTAAGTATGCATACATCAAACCGAGTATGTACGCGATGCGTGGGCACAACAAGCACGCACGCACTAGACAGCGCAAACACGGCGGATGTCATTTGGTACGCTCGTAAGGGGGTCGTACTCATGCCCTAGTGGCTAGACCTTTCACCACGAGTCCTCCAGTAATCTCGTATGGGGCCGGAACATCCAGCGGCCGATAAACAGCCACACTCACCTCGCCGTGCTGGGGCGGCGGCGGCGGGCCGGGCGGCAGGGGCGGCGGCGGAACTTCGTCATCATCCTGGTCGCTATCGTCCATGTCCATGTCCATGTCCTCGTCATCATCCTCCTCTGCCTCTGGCTGTTGTTTCGGTGCGGGCAAAATTCACAGCAGCGGGGCACACGCACGCGCATATACATTCAACTTCGACTACAAAGCGGTTGTGGTTGATACCAGGGGGAAGCCCTGGGAACGGCGACCGGGGAACGTGCAAAAATAAGGTGGTGAAGTGTTATCTACCTAAGTCTTGGGGGTTCGCAGCTTGGGTGTCGACATGGGGATGGCATAATCGTACATAACCAACATTTTCATCCACCCGACTAATATGAGGCGGGGACTGAGTGGCCAGGCCGTTCTGCCTTCGAAGTGAAGCACCGCCACCACCACAGCGGCGTGCCCGCAGTTTTAGAAAATAAGACAGAGCGACAAAAAAGCGAGATTGGTCCTCCTAGCGTCGGTGCAGGGACGTGTATCGTAAAATGGAGTACTGCACCTGCCTGTCTGCTAAATGATAGTCCAAAAGAAAGTCCTCTCTCACCAGTAGGTTAGGTTTGATCGGAGCCGGATCAACCTCCGGCTCGGGGGCGGGAGGTGGCGGTAGCTCTATTCCATCCTCCGCAATGTCTAGCCCCTCCAACGGCTCCACAAGCTCGTCATCTGGGAATTCAATCGTCTGGAGACGAGCAAAAACAAAAACAACAACGGAACGTTGCACGTGTATGATGATCGTATTTGGAATGGCCGAAGTGGCATCATCTGTTGACAGAAAAAGAACAAAAACGACAGCACGTGAGGGTTGGGTATTGATGATAGTTGCATGTAGAATGCCCGAAGTTGCGTCCATTTTTTGTTTACGGTATACGCTAAGAGGGTTTTGACTCTGTCCTCGTGACAGCAACCATGGGATGATCAACATCATGGATTGTCAATCGTGGCACTTCTTTGACAAGCAAAAACCACGTCTGGGCACACTTGGTGAAAACTAGCACGTAGGAACAGCACGTTATTGAACTTTTCGTAATCCTCCAAACAGAGCCGAAATCCGACACTAAACGGACAGGGGAAGAGGGTACGTGCAACTTAGGTCAATGAATCCAGCAACAAGTATGCGCGTCATCCTACTTCGCAACCAACACATCGTGCCACTCGGGCCGCAACACAGTGCCCCCAACTGTCGACAACAACGACCTAAAAAACACTCAACCCACACCACACCACATGACTCGGGTGCGTCGCCTCGCCCAGCCACCCACAGCAACAGTCGGTCGATCAGCCAAATGAAAACAGCCTACTATTTACTATGTTGTATCTGCATCTCTGTCCAGCTCATCCCACTCCCCGCCCGACATTTGGAGTCACCGTTGGAACGAACGATGGGCCACGTCCAGTGGCACGTCCAGTGGGAACAACGCTCCGTCCTCTCGAGGCCGCGTCGTCAACGGCCCAACCGCTACGGCATGCAACGCATGAGCACCCCCCCCCCCCCCCCCCCCCCCCCCCCCCCCCCCCCCCCCCCCCCCCCCCCCCCCCCCCCCCCCCCCCCCCC